ACCAACTTTTACTCGGGGAGTATATCTATAACTCCGATCCTGATCTAGTGCTATACATCAACAGAAAGAGGATCGTTCATAATGGTATCCCTCCTTGTTTCACTCTCATATTTGGAGGCACTAGCCTGCCAGTGCGGAGGTCACAACGAGTAAAAGTTGGTATTTTGAGGCGCAATTTTAACACGTCTATGCTAAGAATATGTGGAGAAAACTTTTTACCGGTCTTCGACTTCTCACTAACTACGAAGAGTTAGGCCCTGAAATTTGGAGGTCATATCAGGTAAAGCATAAGTACATACCTCCCTGAGCCGCGAGGTGCTCATACTCGTTGTGGTGGCTGTGCGCGAGTCGAAAAACCGGATATGCTAAGAATGTGTGGAGGGGTGTATTGCCGCAGGGCTGGCGTCAATAGTCCACAGAATTGTAGGTGTGACCCTCAGTGAGCATCCGGGCGTGCGCTTTTTGCATTGCTGTGAATATCGTTATGGCGAGAATCGGCCCTAAGGGGTACTCGATGGTTACCCATGATGATTGTGCGTGAGTCGGGGTTCGCGTTGTAAGCGTCGGAACTGTATTCAGCAGGGCCCGGCCACAGGACGGGATTCTTTTTACATTCCTTCCCTTATGGCCTCTGTGAGCTCCAGTGAAACCTACGATGGTCGTTCGACATCTCACTCATCTCAGCCACCTCTAGACGGCGACATTCGTCTTCTTCCTCACAAGAGGACACGACACGAACACTTCAATGTGGTCCCCTCAGTCCTGCCTCCTTCTCGCTCTCGAGACCATCATCAGCCCTCTACTAAGCGACCTGGCAGCGCCTATACACATTCCGGAATGCACTCGGGGGGCATTGAAGATGTGACTATGATGGTTCAAGGGCTGGTCCCCAACCACCTGGGGCCTCTGTCCAAGATCAGCTGCGACCGACTTATTCGTATGGCGGAGGACAGGCTTAAACCGAGGCCGCCCTTCGCGTTACCCTCCCAGGCATCAGAGTTGTGTAAGGAAGGCGCCCTAGGGGCTGCTGTCTTGTCATCGTCTGCCGAGGGCCCTCGTAAGCGTGTCCCGTGGGAACCCAGAGAGGTCAATATGCTGCGCCATGAGGTTGGCAGAGTGAAGGAATGGACCTTGAAGGCCCGGCGCTTGCTTGGTGGGGGCTCGGCGTCCAGCAGTGGTCGGCAAATGGGTATGTCTGAGGCGCAGGAGCTCCTGGCTGAAGGCCGCTCTCTCGATAGAGGCATTGATTCTGTCCATAAGGAGGTATGGAGGATGCCCATTCAGAAGCCTTTTCAGCTGTGGTCGGTGTTTTTAGGTGAGTGAGATACTCAGAATGGTAGCAAAAGCCGAGGCGTTCGGCGAGAAAGTCCGCGCTGCTAAGCCGGCTCCTAACGATAACCTTATGACGCTGCCGATGCTCAGGGACTTGGTCGTTGAGGGCCTTTCCTTACGCATTGTTCCGGAGCCTGAGATGAGGTAAGAATTGTCTCGCAGGAGCTTCGCTCCGCTAAGAAAATGTGTCAGATATCTCCTCCAACAGCAAGAGTTGGTGAGGCTACTCGCTGAAAAGCTCAGGGAAGCGACTCAGGCTAATTGCCTCGAGTCATGCCAAATCGTCCTGTATGAAGACGAAGGCATGGACGTGGACTTGGGCCCTAAGATAGATCGGCTGCGGGAGCATGTCACGATTAGCGAGTGGGCCTCTCGAGCTCAGACCAAGCTCCATGGGAGGCGCTCCCAGCTGCCCCTCAGTACTGTGGAGCACCTGTTGGCTGACGATGATGCCACTGAAAAGCTCGACCCCAATCACTGTCTTGAGCTCAGGACGCTACTAGAGGCTAGGACGGCCGGTCGTGCGTGGCAGGAACAGGCCCAGAAGTACCTCCAAGCTGATACGGTATTGCAGCATGGAGAGGAACCTGGCGAGAAGGATCTTGCCGCCCGAGGCACTCTCGATCAGCTCACGGTGCTCCTCGAGGAGCATTCCGACCTACCACGTGTCTGTGTGCCCCACGCGGCTCAGCAGTTGGAGGCTCTGATAAGAAAAGGTCGACAGTGGCTGAGGAAGGTCCAGAGGCTGCTCATCCTTGAGAGCAACGCTGAAGTGTGCCCTACTGCTTCGGACGGTCGCCTGGTGGTGGAAGAGGCTCTTGAATCGGACGTCACCAAGGCTATTGATTTTTCTCAGCAGATAGCTGAGCTGAGCCGGGCGGTTGCCTCTTGTGAGGACTGGACGAAGGACGCTGTGGCGGCGTTGGATCGTGTGAAAAGCATTGAGAAATTCGGCGGCTCGGAGTCACCACCCACTCCCAAGCGGCGGAAAAAGGAATGTCCAAGCACGCCTTCTGAAAGTGGCGATAACGAGGCATTGCTGACTGAGCTGAATAAGGCCCTCCAGCAGTACAGGGAGGAGGTAGAACTGCGACTGGACGAGCTGCCTGGACTGGGGGAATTCGTGGCTCTGCATGACCGTGTGAAGGCGCTGTCGTTGAGGGATATCAGCGTGGAAGGGGATGTTCAAAGGGTCATCGACAAAACGCACAAGTGGCAGGGGAAAATTATGAATGAGATCCGAGGGTCTCAGGTAGTAGTACTAATGAGTGGTAAATAATTGGTGTTACTTTTATGGCAGTTCCCCCGTCCACATAGCGTTCTCAAGAGGCTGCTAACACTATTATCGAAGTTTCTGGCGGGAGGCATTGCAGGGGCCAACCCTGGAGAGTACCTGCAGCAGCTCGTTGGGGCTGCCAAGGAAGAGGTGTGGGCCTCCAGGGTCCGCAGTCTAGTGGTTGAAGGAGCTGGGGTAGGGCCCCAACGAGCCGGCTGGGAGGGCAATTCTTTACCTCACTCTGATCAGTTGCCTATGAGCACCTCTGTGCTTGAGGAGCTCTATAAGGAGCTGCTGCCTCTGCCGCTGAAGGCTCTGGTGGTCCCTAAGGAGGAAGTCAAGGAACTCGAGGAAAACAGCGCCTCTCCTGAGCAGACCTTAGTCTTGATACGTCAGGTTCGTCTCTTGCGGCGGCTAGCCGAGGAGTATGTTGGTCGTGCTCAGGTCAGTGAGGAATTGGCATCGTCCCTCCATTCCTGGTCATTCGGGTGGCCCAATCGGCATCCTAGTGAACCGACTCGTGTCGAAGATGGCAGCGCCTCGAAGACTATTGGTGGCGAATGGGATGTTGTTGTTATACTGCAAGCAATTCTTAGCGGAGCGAAGCACGTGACTAGGTAGGAACTACTGAGAAAAGTGTGGTACTGCCATTGTGAAGTGTCAGGAGTGCCACTAGTCGGCCCAGGACCTTCTGGGTCGAGGCTGAGGAGGTCCTCAGTGGCTGTGGTGCCACTTTGGTAGACCTTTCTGGGCCCTTGGAGATCGCCCGGACTGTGCAGACGACGAACCTCGACCTTGAACGCCGTTCCTCTGACCTTCTCGCCCGACTGAGTACTGACCATAAGGCCTCTTCGCAAGGGCCCGCTGAGCCTTCAGCAGTGGACGCTACGTTATACACCGACCTACTGGCTCTCCTCAAGAACGTGGACGAATGCCCGTGTATTACGGTGAAATTCGAGGAGTATGCTCAGCCCGAATATGTCTTGTTTCGAGTCTTATTCTTTTCAGGACGCTGCGACCGTTGGTCGCTCGCCTGGCTGGGTGGCAGGATAGGGCTCGAGAGCTGTTCCATTGGGATGGGGAAGGGAGGCCCCTGGAGGGCACCTTCAAACCTAGCAGGGATGCGGTGGAGGAGTACATTGAGAACCTCAGAGCCGACGACCAGCTCATGGGATTGGTCAGCATGAACTTCCTTAATCAAGTGATCGTCGTGGCGGCCTTACACGTTGCTGTTGGACCCATCACTCGCCTTTGAACTCAGGTTGCATTTATTTCGGGTGTCCTTGGTGCCGTCCGAGACGTCCAAGCATGGGAGAAGGATCTCAAAACCATGCTTCAGTTGCCGGAAGGAGATCTGTCCTTATCGGCACTCCGCAAGCACGTTGGCCAGCGGTCTCATCTGGCCATTGATTTCCCATGGTCGGAGAGGACCAAGCGGGCGGCATTTGAAGCCGACCAGTGGTTGACTCTGCTGCAGAGTCGGCGGTCTAGGCGGCGACATCTCACGTTGAAGACGGCGGAAGAGATCCTTCGAGCAACGCTGCCGCCAGAAGAGGGAGACGAGTCGGGCTTTACGAGGGAGATAATCAATAAGAGTCGGGAGTGTGTAGCTCTGAAAAAGCACGTGAGTCGGACGGGTGGTTGCCTCCCCTGTGGGGTTCAATCTTGTCGTCAGATGGAGGCGGCCAAGCGGCATTTACAAGAAGCCATCAAGGCCATCCAAGCCAGTCATGAAGCTCGGGCCGCGCTCCCTGGAGAAGGGCCCTCCAGCTCGGTCGAGCATGAGGATGCCTTGTCTGGGCTGGCGGACGAGGGCAAGAAGCTGTATGTGCAGACTGGTGTTGGCAAGTGGCTCGCTCTCGAGCTAAGAGCACGCAATGATAACAAACGTCTACGAGGGGCATTCGAGAAGGATGACTGCACGTTGGAAGAGGCCCAACAGATCTGTCAGAGTGTCAGTTCTCCACCACCCAGCTCAGGGAACCAGCAGGAGCAGCGAACCCCGGTGGTAAGCTCTCAGTGTATGCGTGGTCGTAGTGGTAATGTACCATGATTCTAGTCTTACTATTCTCGAAATCCTGGGCACTGTGGGACGTGTTCGAATGATCAGGAGATATCGATGAGCGTTGTATGATCTTGCCCTGAGCGCCTCACGCCTCTGCAACGTTATGTTTTCAGTACGATGAGAGTCCGACAGAGGTTGATGCCAGTAGGCTGACGTCAGAGCTGGGGAGTCTGGATTTCTCATGTGATGGGGAGCTCTTGCGGCGCTTGGCTCGGGAGGTGGCGGCGGCTGAGGCCTACCAGGAGCGCATCAATCTAGTCCTCGCGAAGTGCGACGATGCGAGCCTCACTAACAGGACGGAGATGGATCCGGAAATCGATCGAGTGATCGATAAGGCTCTTGAGTCTTGTGGGGATCAGAAGGCCCTCCCAGCAGCGGGTCGCCATAAGCCGCCAGACTACGCCTTCCCTTTGCCGTTCTACACCGCCTGCCTACCACCAGCGGTGACCTCCAAGAAGAATAAAAGGACAGAGGCGGGGATGGAGGGCCTCCCTCTGAGCCTGCGTATACTCGATATGGCCCCATGGAACGCCCCACCGGTATCTCAAAATCGGGCGCCTATAGAGGAAGCACTTCGACAGCAGAGAGTGGTAGGTCGTTGAAATTTGATTTATGGAGGACCCCACTTTTAGGCTCTGATGGCGATGACGCCGGAGCAGCGAGAGGCGGAAAAGGTCAGCTTTCGGGCACACCTTAAAAAAGCGAAGTCGACGAGTAAGCGTTGCTCCTGTTGTGTTCCTCCTCCTCTGGAGTGCTTCCGAATGGTCAGTGTCGGAGGCTCTCACGGTGCTGGCGTTTGCTCCGAAAGTGCGGTTGAAAATGGCAGAGGTGGCGGAACTGCGGTGGCTGGTCGGCGTGACCATGGAAAGCGTTCGTGCGATACTCCGGCGGCACTCAGTGCTCGTTCCTAATCCCACTGGTGAGGCTGTCTCGGCGCTGACGTAGTGTTGTTTACGTTCTTCAGCTACTCGCACGAATCCATTGGTATCTGCCTCCCATGAATATGAAGCTTGGGAGTTATCCTTGGTAGAGGACCACAAGGGGGACGAGGGGGAGCAAGCTAATTCGGATGGGAATGGCGAGACCACAACCACCACCACCCCGACGACGACGATAGACGACTTGCTGGTGAGTATGCAATTCTAGCGAGCACAGGCGAATCTGATGCTAGAGAGTAGTTCTTTTGGCAGTGAGCGTGCTACGATATGTTTCTTTGTGTTGTATATTGTGATGGCTTTCAGGAGGTGCTAATGCAAGTTGATGGTTTACCCTTGAGTGTACGGTTGAAATCCCGTGTGGTTACGGCTGTTGAGGCAGCCTTCGACTGGCGCGTGCGAGCGCAGTGTCTAGTGCACAATTTGAAACCGGAGAAATCTCGGCCTCGGCCGTGGGTGGGAGATCGGCGGACCTTGGTAAGCCCTTCCCACAGCACTTTACCCCCTCCCCATTGTTGCTCCTCAGGAGTACTGGTCGGGCCATGGCCAGCGGTGTCGGGACATCTTTGAGTCGCCAGAGTTCCCTCCGGGTACACCAGTACTTCCCCATGCAGTGGACAACGTTGTGATCGCTCCCCCAGTGGAGGACTACATCCAGTCTACTCTCCAGATGCGGGTATTCTACCTCGTTGAGTGTTGCCGCCACTTCATGACGGTGAGTCGGTTTGCCATCATTTCCTATGGTCGGCCAACTCTCTGTTGGTAGGTCTACACGGATATGTGCGAAATATGTAACATTCCCACTACCTTGCATACGGACACAGACAGTTGGATCACATGCGATATGTGCGATAAGTGGTACCACCAGAAGTGTGCCCATGTCCCTCCTGGTTGCACTAGTTTCGTCTGTCCACTATGTAAGGGAGAACATAAGTCTGAGGGTAAGACCGTCGCAACTCGTTGGTATACCAGTAATGTTTCCTGCAGACCCCTATAGATCTCCGTCGTCTAGTATCCGACAAACGTATGATGAATCATTGCGGCCGCCTTTGTCCACTTTAACATTGGAAGAACGTGACGTACTTGGTAGAACTATTAATCAACGCCAGCGAGTTGGCATGTATTGAACAGCTCCGTCCCATTACTGTAGTGCCATTATTGTACTATTATCAGTAAAAATGCCTTTCTATATCGACTCCTTTCGTTGCAGTTGGAGAAGTCTCCATGTGGGTGCTTTTTGGTGATAATAAGCTAAACTGGCTCAGGCAATATGGCTGTAGATTGACAACATGGAAATCTTCCGAGTGTGTCGCTCGCAGCCATCGCTCTCGCCGTTCGAACTTCAGAGTACGGTCGGATCCTCTGCTTGTTCGGACACAGGAGAGCACTTAGGGGAGTGGCCGTTTGAAGTTTCGCAACGGCACATGAAAATTAATGTCTAGTCTCGAGAGATTACTCCACAGCACTAACAGTTTGCGACCATCATCAGCCCACTTCCGATTATGTGTGTCAACACAATAAAAACAGCTTATAAAGAATTTCTCATGTCTGGGAAACAGAATGGGACAATTTTATAATCACGAAGCATAATAACATTGTTTTTGAAATCACAAGTTTTTCTCATGCAGAGAAATAATTTCCCTCTGTTGCCCGTGCACCCAACTGACAAACTCAAAGCATGATCTACAAGTATGTTGAAGCATAAAGTAATCACCCAAATCCGACAGTAGTTAGGTTATTGTCTAACCTCGAGACTACCTAGAGTCTCGTTATTTGGAAAAATACAACAAATTCAGGATAATACAAATGAATAAATCATTTAATGGGCAATCTTTGCCTGAGTGGTAGCAATGAAGTTGCTGACCACACGAATGGAGTACTCGTTGTACTTGGCGAGTTGTCTTTTAGTAGAGGTAATCTGATCACCCTCCAACCTGTTAACCAAGGTCACACATACGCAAGCAGCGGGGATCTTGGCACGCTGGCAGAAGCCCATGAGGGCGACACTCTCCATCTCGATGTTGCGGACACCAGCATCATGTAGGCGATGGAGGAAGTTAATCTTATCCTCCTCAGTATACCAAGGGGTAAGAGCACCATCAGTTCGTCCCTGACCCTCGAAGAAATCATCAGCAGCCATGGTCTTACCCTTCACAACAGGAATATCCTCAGGGGCGCTGGCGATGATATCATCGACAAACTGCATATCGAGAACATCGGTAGGGATCTCGAAGACCTTACCGAGCTGCACAGTCCTCCAGCAGGGCTTGATCTCATCATTGATGGCCTGAGTGGTGCATACAACGGTTCCGGGAGCAACACCACAGCCACCAGAAGTACCAAGACGGATCCACCTAACGCTATCGATGATACCAACATGATTACAGAGCTTGGCAACTTCGTTCATGAGGATATGGAGAGAGGGACCACCCATACCGTGAGATACGGAGATCACAGACCCACACTTGAACATGCTGTAACGCTCTGTCTTACCAAGACGCATAACGGTAGGCTTTGGGAGACCCTGCTCCACAAAGGCGTTGGCCATGACCTCAGCGAAGGTCTCAGCACGGGCAGGAGAGCCCATCATGACGAAGTACTTGACATCACCGAAAAGAGCCTGAAGGTCCATATCGGTATCGAGGCCGAGATGATAGTAATGGTCACAAGACAAGGCTTGGGCGTAGGGGGAGATGTTATGTCTGGAGGCAGGGGTGGAAGTGGTCGACATATTGCTGAGCTTTTAAAGATCAGTTGAGCTGATAACTCACGATTGATATGTATCTACACTATGACGAATGAAGACCTCCTAAGCTTAGCACTACAGCGAAGCAAATATTTCCTTCTTGTCTTCCTCTTTGTGCCGCGCATCTTCCAACTTATTATCGTCCATTGGATTCAGAGCCGGTATATTCGAGCCTTCACTCAGTCGTCCTTTCGTGTGTTCTCACTCACAAGCTCTGTTAGTTATCAAAAACCCAATTAGCTTCGAGCTCGTTTGGTATCAAGTGCTCTCATCATCGTTGACGAGATACACACGATTATTGACGCATGTACTTTTGTAACTCTAACGAGAGCAAAGCAATGAAACCTATCGATTATCAAAGACGATGTCTGATAGAGTCTAGCGATGTATCACCGATATAAAAGGTGTCCAAAACAAGAAAAGATCTTATTACTACAATTCACGTATCCGATGAACACGGGATATCAAGACTATGGTGTCGGATATGAAGCTGACAATGGCCTCCCAGGATGATTAGCACCCGAATCGTCCAAGTTCACTTGCGATGAAGTTGGTCACCACATCAATTGAGTGCTCATTGAAGCAAGCAAGTTCACGTTTGGTAGCTGTGACTTGGTCACCGTTAAAACGATCGAGGAAGGTCACACAGACACACGCTCCTGTGATATTAGCACGATTACAAAAGCCCATCAAGGCAACATTCTCCATCTCAATGTTGCGTACACCAGCGTCGTACAAGCGACTCAGGAAGGCCATCTTGTCGTCTTCGTTGTACCAGGTCTCAAGTGCCCCATCGAGACGGCCCTGTCCTTCGTAGAAATCATCAGCTGCCACGGTCTTCCCCTTAACAGCATGGATATTGTCAGGCACAGAATCCAATATAGCGTCCACGAACTTCATATCCACACAGTCGGTGGGGATCTTGACGACTTTACCAAGCTGGACACACCTCCAGTATGGTTCCACCTCATCATTCAGGGCTTGGGTTGTTACCACCACAGTGCCAGGAGGTACTCCGCATCCACCAGAAGTACCCATACGGATCCACTTCACGGAGTCCACGATGCCAGCACGGTAACAAAGCTTAGCAAGTTCATTGAGGAGGATGTGGATTGAGGGACCACCCATCCCGTGGGAGACGGAGACAACAGGTCCAACCTTATACATGCTGTAGCGCTCTGTCTTACCTAGACGAGCAACTACCCGTTTGGGCGTTCCTTGAGAGATCATCGCATTCCCCATGGCCTCGGCAAAGTACTCAGCTCGGTGAGCCGAGCCCATGAGCACAAAGTACTTAACATTGCCAAAGATAGCATGTAGATCCATGTCTGTATCCAAGCCGAGATGATAGAAGATGTCTGTTCTCAGTCCCCTGGAGAAGGCAGACATTCTGCTGGAAGTAGATGATCCCGGTGACCTCAGAGTTTCCTCGGCTTGCGTACTTACTTCGTTCACAGGAGGTTCGCCAGACATTGAAGTGATGGCCTGGGGAAGGAGCTGAGCAGGGAGAGCGCGCAAGCAATTGCGAGTTGAGAGAGATCTCTCACACACGACCACTGGTCGAGTGTATTCAGCTCGAAAGCTCGTCGATTCCCGATTCGGTAAAATTCAGTGTCTGACACCGTGCGCAACCATTAAAATGGAAGAGTCAGGCACCATGCGAATAGTTGTCAGAGCCTAGATGGATTAGGAGTACTAGCCTAGGACAAGACTTCATACGCCGGGTGATGTTGTCACATAGCTGCCTTGCAACCTTAGATACGGTATATGCCATTCAGTGACCCTTGAGTCAGTGGCACCCCAACGATGATGACAAGCTCCCCAGCAGAAGACGAGCTTGAGCTGTACATTTTCGGAGATGCTCTGAGGCATGTCCTGTCAGTTGACATGGAGTACAAGGTTCAGACATCCACACGAATTGTAGGTGTATTCCTGAACTATAACATGAGCGGAGGAGAGATTTGTATCGTTGTTAATATAGCCACAGCTTCGCATAGACTTTCGCCTACAGCTTGGAGTGAGCTGCCTCGGCCAGGTATCATTTATCGGACCCGTGCGTCTGCATACTGCTTCTGTGCGCTGACAGCGCACACTCTACAGTGTAGAGTCTGCGCCGGCACACGGTCGCGTATGCGTGGGGGAGCATTATTATTAGGATCCACCAGACGTGCATAGCAAGCGTCATGGAGTAAGGTACAGCTCGGGTACCAAGGGAATTCCGAAGACCGGACGATCTCGCTTAGAACAACGGTTATTCTAATCGAGATCGTCCGGTTATTAAATAACCCCTAGTACCACTTGAGCGAGGTTTACGTGATCGGCGGCCACACGTATCTCATGAGACTGATTCAACGGGCATACAGTAGGTAACGGCTCTGAGTTGCTCCTGGTCTTCAGAGCGACTCGCTCTCATTGTCAACCCAACACTTGGTGGTTGTGCTTATCGTACAAAGGGATCCAAGGAGGTTGATGCACCAAGCTATATTATACTTGCGTGCTACAGCTAATGTCAAATGCTGAAGTATTACAAGGAAACAAGTTGGTACCATACCCAATCCGCGTACGGCAACATCTGAAGGAGTACCGGGTACTCAGTACCCATGGCGGTAATAGGTTCACGAATGAAACGACCCAGAATTGACGACCCTGGGGATCCAGCTGACGAACCTCAGCGTGATCCACCTACGACCTCCACATGAAGGGAGAAGGGACTCGCAACCGGAGGAGGCAAAGATGACAGGTACATATTGCGCTGGTGCCATTGCGAGCTGCTTAACAATTTATGGGTCCAGGAGCAAGGTAAGGTGGCATAAGGTTTCTCTTCGTCGAATCCCTCCCCCCAAAACCTTTTGACCAAAAGCCGCGAGGAGGACGTCCTTTCGTGGGTTGATTTCGTAGGAGTGGTTTGGGGCTACGTACTTGATATCCTGGTAGCAGCCTCGCGCGGGAGGATCGGCGTGAATGAAATCACCACACTGTGTGGTCCACACAGAAGCTATGCCGCATAGCCTATGCGCTCAAGAGGGATTTGTGTGCGCCAAAGATAACTAGAGAGGTTCGATGGTTCATTGCAGTTGAATGCTAAAGCTAGCGAGATCCTCTCGCCGAGAGCAATAGAGCTCACAATAGGAAAAGCCATGTAGAAAATAAGAGCGGTTGCGAGTTTTGATAGTGCTGTACGCCCTGGTAACCTTGGCGACAGCTGTACGTGAAGTCTTCACGTTCAGCGTAGTAGATATCATGAGTATCTTGGAGTCCAAGACTTCCAAGGTCCAAGGCTCGGACCACAGTTCCAACACACGTTCACTTTCGAGAGCAATCAGGGCCAGGATCTACTACGAGTTGGCGTAACAATACCTATGGGGAAGGTCTCATCGATATTGAGGACGGCGACATCAATATCATCAGCGAATGCCCATTCTGAGTAGCATTTTTTGATATCTGAGACATCGATCTTGGTGTACCTTGCTGGAGGAGGCTTCGCTGCGTCGCCGGAGGATCCTAGCTTCGCCCTATTCGAGATGCATAGAGGGAGGATTTCGTATTGGAAGGGATTGAAGTGGTTGCTGTCGGCATTCTGTGCGCATTTGAAGAGCTTCGAGGCTTCTTACAGTATCACAAAGCACATAAGAAACTTCGCCTTTGTGCTCATGGACGCTGATAAGAAGCTGTTGCGCTCTACAAGGTCAAAGGGTGATGATATGCTCATTGCTTGCACAATCGGCTTATCAGCTAATTTCATGAGCAACGTATCCACTACAATGGATACTTTCGGGTCTTGGGTCACGGTAATCTAAGTTAGATACGAAGCTCCGAATATCAAGCTCCGTCTGGATGCTTCCCATTTTATGCGGTGTTTCGAGCTGGGCATCACTCATGTCCAGTATGTGCTCTATTCGAGGTTCGCATTGGACCGCAGGTCCGACTGCAGTGCGGCGGCATTTGCCAGCATGGAGAACTCCGAAGTGCAGGACAGCTATTTGGAGGCCGCGACTAGCGTCACTCTGTCATACTTGAGGGATTGGACAGGCTCATCTCTCGTCCACGCTCTGAAGACTCAAAAACTGCATAATCTATCCCGAGTCGATGGCGAACTAGCTCTTGAGCGTGACCAGTAACAAGGACACGTAGTGGGATCTGGCCGGTGACTAGCCGCTGGTCCCGTATCCAGCACTATCAATAAACAATATGAGCAGACATGGAATATCAATCTGTCGCAAGTGAAGCATCTCATCGCCATCGATACACTGAGACTCGGATTAAGTCACTCAGTGCACCCTGAAGTGACGATAGTAGGTTACTTGAACGGGACTAGGGGATCTAGACGGCGAATACTAGTGGTCAAACCTTAGTGCCTCTACGGTAGAGGCTCTACCCATCACATCGATGGTACTAATAATTAGTAACTAATTCGATGCGCTTACAATGGAGGCCAGGACCTTACTAATTAGAGCCCGCTACATGTAGCGGGCTCTAATTAGTAAGGTCCTGGCTTGTTGGTGTAGCGGACTACACCAACAAGCACTGCTCAACAGCGACTGGAACCAGACGCCTGTTCCGGAGCGGGCAGTCTTGAGCGGAGGTATCAGGAGCCACTAGTCTATAAACGACAGCCACAGACTCTGACAGATAATCGCAGATAATAACGGAATTTCCGTCACCCTGACGGCGTCAAGTGTTATGCCTGCTTCAACATAGTATGGTACCGTTCCTTACTCCAACAATGATAAATATGGGAAGAAAGGTCATGGTGACAGGTGTGGTCTTACAATACCTACAAGTCCTACAACGAAATTTGTTGGACTTACCGGTATTCGTTGAACGAATACCACTACAAAAACTACCAAAAAATGACAACCACTCCAAGGACTACTATATACAATGGCCACAAGACGCGGCCCACGACTGAGATAACAGCTCCAACGATAAGGTATTGCTAACTACCGCCACCAATGCTTGCCAGTGGCGAGTTGTCACTGGCGAGTTGCCAGGCCGTGGCACGATCCGCCGGATCGTCGTCCTCTTTGAATTTGGTTTGCAACTCTTGTACAAGGAGTCCTTGTCAAGAACTCTAACCTCGTGGATTCTCAGGTAACCTTGACATTGAAAGGAACGGTAAGTTCATCACCTCTATCGTAAAACTATCAACAGAACTTCATGTCATAGCTCACCGAATAGTCCTTCCATTTCACATACCATATCCAGTAGCGGATGTGTCAGGGCCCGAATTGTGCTTTCGTGCAATAAAGTGCTAGGTAAGAAGTTCTTACTAAGCACGTTATTTAAGTAGCGCAAGATTGGATATCCATCAGCTCGGCGAATTGGTGTCACTAAATGTAGTGACAACAAATAGTGATCTAGGACACCAAGTTTGGTGACAACGTGTGTTTGCGCCCTGCACGGGCACCGTTCCCGGGGAATGGAATTCACCAGCATTTCCCGAACTTGGCTCTAACTAAGGATCCCTAGTTCCCTAGTTACTAGGATCCCTAACTAGGGTCTCTCCTTTTTCTAATGTGATAGAGGTATAAGGAGCTAGAGTAATAGGAGCGAGGAGAAGGCATTGTCAATGGCAGTGAATGGATCTTGAGGTCTAGAGCTACGTTCTGGTGAGTCTTCAGCCAAGTCGAGTGGTGTCATTTTTTCTTACATCGAAACTTGAGTGTCCGTAATAGTGTGAGGAGGTTCACTACGGGGTGCATCCGGTGAAGTAGTTACTGATCTCTGTTCCTTGTTATTATGAATACCGTCAATTCGGCTCACGACCGACAGGCCTATATCGACAAGATCGTTGAGGACCCCAATCTGAAATTCATTTTCGTTGGTGGCAAGGGAGGTGTCGGTAATGCCGACTTCGGACGAGGGGCGCGATCGTATGGTCTCTTTCCCCACAGGCAAGACCACGACCTCCTCTGCTATAGCCATACAGTTGGCATACACCCGCAAGGTGCTCTTGCTGTCGACAGATCCAGCCCATAGTCTTGGCGATGCGTTCCGAACGAGGTTCGGTGGCGAAGTATGATAGTAGGCATTCCGCAACAGTGATCATCCGTCTGCGTTCAGCCGACCCCAGTACCGGGCGTGGCGAATTTGGACGTCCTTGAGATTAACCCCCAGGCATACCTGACAGAAGAGCTCAAGCAGTGGGGTCAGCTCGCCCACCAGGCCGGCTACAACGATCTTATCAATAACGTTGAGAAACTTCAGGTGGGAGAATTTCGACTGCTCGGATGTGTAGTATTCTTTACGGTAGGACTGGATATCTGGCATACCTGGGATCGACGAGGCCACGGCCCTCTCCTCTGTAGTAGACCTATTGGAAGGCGGACATTACGACATTATAGTCTTCGACACGGCCCCGACAGGGCATACTCTCAAACTCCTACAGTTACCTGATATTTTACAGGTAGTATGGGGACCTCTCGGGAGTAGAACTGTGGGAACTGCGTTATCAACTAGTCAGGTTGGACTGACCAAGCTGGAGTCATGGCAGACATCTCTTTGGCAGTATTGGCAGATGGTCAAGGGCGGTAACTACTCTCAGACTGAAGCCTTGCGCAAAAAAGTAACGCAGCGTTGTCGTCTCGAGCAGTGCGTTTCAAGGTGTCTTCAGGTGACCTCGAGGATACGCGATTATAAGAGAGGTATCGAGAAGGTTGGACGCATGCTGAAGGACCGGATGAGGACAACCTTTGTAGTTGTATGCATCGCTGAGTACCTCAGTATAAAGGAAAGTCAGAGGCTTCTGAGGGTGAGGCAATTTCGTGGCGAGTGAAGGTGGACCGCTCACTTCCATAGGAGCTCCACAAGGATCAAGTCGCAGTCTCGCACGTTGTTGTGAACCAGCTTGTGCTTGGCGATTTCACGTCATTGTCGATCGATGATGCCTCTACTGCCCAGAAAGGCGAGGAGGTACTATACTCGTAATTCACAATGCGACGTAGGCGATCCCTCAGGCGCTCGGTCAGGGTCCGTGGAGGACTATACAGCAGTCGGTTCAGTTTTGCAGAGCTAGGTGAGTTCCTCGCGTCAGTCGACTAGTAGTATTTCTCCTAGTGCTTCCTCATCTGAGCTCGAGGAGTTTTCGTACTGCAGTGTAGTAATTTGCTCAAGAGTGTTTGAAAATCTACGAGAATTTCCCCAGGTTTCCTCATTCCTATGAACCCGCGTAGTTGACCATGTGAATATTCTCCAACGCTGATGGTCCCTTCAGGAATTCAATCCAGCAGAAGTACCTGAACGAGTTGCGAAACTTCCCTGAAGTAGCGGATGCCGGTTTATCCGTCATACAGTTGCCGTTGCTCCCCTATGAGGTAGGCGCCACTGCATCGAGAGGCTGTCGAGGAGAAACCTCGCTCTGTTAGGTTACTGGTGTAACCAGTCTGCTCAACTTCAGCCAGATGCTACTGCCTCAGGGATACCGACAAGGCAGCGCTCCTCCGATACCTCTGGTGGACAGGTGAGATCATAAACTGTGTTCATACCGTGCACATGCGTGCTGTGTCAGGATAAGTGTTCGGGAAGAGCTGTATGTCGACTCGTGTTCATTCATGGATGGTGACCGAGTGGTGGTCACGGGTCTGGCGAAGGCTCAGCACTACAATGGCAAGCCCGCCGAAGTCATCAAGGTACGGTATGCAAAATCTAGAGGAGTAGTAGCATGCTTCGCAATCTAGTAGGGTGGGCACGGAAAGGCACAGTAACTGTGCTTACTCATGTCTAGCCTGACTTTTCGTTGATGGTTGGAATATATAAAAACCCGAGAAATTCCGCGCGGAAAGCCGCGCGGAATAGTGAACATTAATCGAATAGTTCACGGAATAGTGAACACTGCACGGCACCACTGCTTTCGTAGATCTTCTATTGACCTAAAACTTTCTATACGGCCCATGTCATGGGTGAAATTCTCAAGAAAAACTTCCTGCAAATCTTTCACACACGAGGCGGTCAACAAGTCTCTACGTAGTCTTGAAAGTAGTGAGTGAGTTCTACAGGTCACCGACGATGGACGAGTGGCTGTGCGAGTGGAGGTCGAAGCCAAGAAGTACAAGATGCTTTCATTGAAGTCAGAGAACCTCATGCTTGCTGACGACTATGAGCCGACTTCCGAGAACCCCCGTTTTCTCTAGTTTGACAAAATACCACTACTATACCAGTAGCTGCGTGGTAAAATACACCCTAGCGTATTCTCTATTAGTGTCTGAGGCTAATACCATGTGATGCGTTGGAGTGATTTAACGGCGAGGGTCTGGACAGCCCCCGTCAGTGTGGACGTATGTTGTACTTTTCTCAACCGCACTGCTGTTCATGCGAGGAAGTAGTCAGTAATGGATGAACAGTGGTTAACCTAGTCTGGGGTGTATTCTCATGACGGATGCGTTCTTTGCAGTGACGACTTTTTCCAGTGTGGAGTACCGAAGTTTACAGAACAGTCTTTGCTAACTTCGCTTGCACACCGCTTGATCTCTCTGATCATATGATGACTTCTTACGAGCTCTCCCATTTGCACTCGATATCAGAGAACCCTTCTTGTTGCGTTCAAGGCGGTCGAACCTTGCATTGCATCGCCTTTGTGTAGTTATTCAGGCTGACTAGTAAATGAGTGTTCGATGTCGCAGTATATGATAGATTATTGGGACTGGGCATCGGCTCGATTATCTCAAGTCCTACCGCAAGTCGTTATGCGAGTGAAGCCACGAGACGGCAGTGGTGGGGGTGTCCTTGCTCCTCTGGAATGCGGTATATGCTGCAACGACTACGACGATTCTCAGCACCGCCCCATGGTATGCCTACACTACCCTCCCTTAACGACGAAAGCGTCTTTAGGTACTCACACGGTGTGGACACAGTGTTTGTGCTAAGTGCATGGAGTCTGTCACCTCGAACTCCTGGCTGTTCGGCAAGTACGTTACTTGTCCATACTGTCGGCATGCTACCCATGTCGCGAAGGCCGTCACCAACTACGCAGTACTCGAGACGATAGTGTCGATACCCGACAGCCCTCCGAGCGACCACGTGCGAGATCTGGCAATCCTAACTGTAGGGGTTACTGGAGGTGTGGTATTCACTCTCATATTCGGCGAGAGAGCTGCTGCGATGATTGCAGTTCTGTTGGGATGTGCAGCCTGGCACATCGAAGACGTGGCGGAGGTGTCGAACGTCGGCCATGTTCTAGCACGATTAGTGGATAATCAGACCTGCCTTTGTTGACATCGCATTTTGATCTCAAGTAGCATTGCCTATACGATTTCCCTCATACTTTGTGTTGTATTGATGAGGAGTGAGCTGAGGACGAACTATCCTCGCGTTTGGGATTTTTCTGTCACTTTATCGGCAACTTGTAGAACACGGAACAAAGTAACTCAGGATAGTAGAATAGACAGGGAGTCCATGTAATGTCATGCGATCCACAAATTGGAGATGCAGTTGCTGGTCGCCGATAGCGATTGTGTACTGTACTTCATTCGGAATCTTCAAAGCTCTCTGCTAGAGTCGCTGTCTTACACTCTCTCATTTGGGTACCGGAAAAAACGTGAACGCTGGTTGATGAGCGCGAAACGTTAGCAATACTGATGGTTTCACGAGATATGTTCCATTGGAGGCACCACCAGAAGATAACTACTTACATGTGATGAACCCGGGATACCAGCGCATCCGATATCGCTAGTCTTATAGTCTGGACATGTCTAGACGAACGCATTTTCGTGATGATGAGACACATTCCCGCCAATTATTTCCGATGCCAAGTTGACTGATAAACGAAGAAGCTTTGGTGCTTCCCAGCTTACCTGCCTTCCGTTGAATCTGTGCGCGAGGCACAGGATTCGCCTCATGCACAAATGCCGATGAAAATAATGAAGTTGAATCAACAGCCGTGAAACACAATGACTGATAAGTACTCTGTGTTACAGGAAAAGCTCTCAAATGAGTGAAATCGATCTCCTCAAAGACTGATAATACTGTAAATGGATTCTAATGAAATGTTTCGGAAAAAATGCTCCTTTAGCCTTAAATCTAATCAACTGTTACATCCTCACTCACTCCTATTTCGGGCTCGGCCGCCGTTGAAGGGAGCGCTCCGCTCTCACTTGGGACATTCGTAGAATTAGTAGTAGTCTCAGTTGGAGTCAGCGTAGTAGAAGCATTCGTCGCAGTAGACGGCAGAGTCGGCAGCGGCTCTTCTTCAACCTTAACAACACACTTCCCCTCCTTGATGTGTATCTTGTGAACCCTGCGCAGAGAGGCCAAGCCAGCATCAGCTCGAGTGCTGTTCACTGTGCATTGAGTATCGTCGTACCTACACCGCATCGTCTCGCTCCGATAGTGTCATTTCCCTTACACTTGAGAAGAGAACTTCGGTATGGTTATAGAGCCTCCCGTTGGGTCAATCCACTCAGGCAAGTGCAAGCACTTCGTCATCTGCCCTACTGACACCTTGAATGACCTGAAACGTTATCATGTTGTCTAGTCCGATGAGCCACGGAAGTTACATGTCCGTCCCAAGCGGCTCGCAGTAACCAATTTGAATGGTCTGCCTCAGGAGCGTCTTGCCACACTTTGCCTTCATAGTGAGACAAGCGTAATCACCGATGGACATCGGCGAGGCGATGACTTGGCGAATCCAGGACCAGATCGATTTGGTTTCGTTAATGATGTCTTTTTCTATCTCGGACAAGTTGGCGATCTGAAGCACCATAGATCGACACACTAACACACGACCAGAGTTTACTGTTTCAGTATCGAACTTGGCTCTCTGAGCGGCGGGAATATCCAGGGCGAAATCAGTAGTCACATCCACGTCGTTGAGGGAGAGCTGGGCAGCAACAAGGCCGATTAGGGCAGAGAGAAAGAGATATCCGCGCATTCTTGCACACAAGTTTGCACTGGAAGACCAGCCAACACAGAGCGCCTCTTGCCTACAGCACAATACCAAACATTCTGTCAGCATAAGCTGCTTATCGTTCAACAATTCCAAGCCTAGTATGTGGGTGCACATGAAGTAGCCGACGCGGACACTCCGGTTGGAAAAATACACTCGCATACTGAGCTAAGATCAGCACGAGGTTCTTCTTGGATGTTGTCCCTAGTTGCCCTACAGCAGCTCGACTCAACGCAAGACATCCATAGTATACCATGGCACTGTCTCGCACGGCCGTTAGCCTACCACTGAGGCAACCGCCTGCCCGTCCTCGCGAGAGGTCTTCAACAACAGTAGTCATGATGGGATATTAATTCTACTCGACATTGTCATTTTACATCATCAAAGGCTGCATTGTTTGGCGGTACGGTGGTTGCTGCTCGGTTGCCAGCACGCTCATGCGACTTGGGACTTGCGTCGACACCGTCATCGGCCCACGTGAAACTGTGGTACAGATCGTACGCACAGGGTGATAGTCCCCATCAGGGGTGTAGGTGTGTATCAACTGGGGACTCTGCTGAGTGATATAAGAGGGCCCAGCAGTTGAATACACCTTGTAGTTTTCCTGAGCATAGACATTCGAAATGCCGCGCGGGTCGTGAATGTAATTCGAAGATGCTGATGCCTGAACACAATAAGGAAGGTCATCAGAACTAACCATAGTCAGTATGCCTACCCGAGGCAAGGCTTCATAATACACCGGCGATGAATGACCGGTGGGAGGCTTCGTAGTGTATACCGGCGTAACGCTAGACACAGCCGAGACTTTACGCGTGGGGAGGGCGCTCACTGAACGGCTCTTCATCATCGAACTCGAGAGAGGCCGAGGAGGGCTCGTATACTGTACCGTCTGAGAATAGGGTATTCAATCCAGCCAGGGCAGATCATACTGACCTCCGCTTTGGGAAAACTCTCCGCAGAGTTCAATGTCCGAATCGGTAGCATCTGGCGATATCGACTCAGCGACTGCGGCGAGAGCAACAGCTCATCTCGGAAGTTGCTTTGCGGTGTCAGAGGCCTCGGCGCCCCCACGATCCCTCTTATCGGGATCACCGGTGCCCGGCTAACCTGCTGCGGCGTCGCAGAGGCCGCCATAGGAGTCCGTGCACCGTAGGGCGGGCTTGTCCACATAGCCGGTGAGGTAAACGCTACCGCTGCCGATGGGCCTTAGGGTAGAACACGATAAGACCAGACAGAGCCAGCGGGGACCCACCCACCTTGGGTACGATACTCCTGCTGAGGCGTCAGGATAACCGGCGTAGAGGCTAGTGAGAAGGCCTGCAGCGGCGTAAGCGGCTGGGAGGTCGCCACCTTCGCCGTCGGGCTCTTCGTGATTCCCACAGCGGAAAAGGACCGACCCAGTGAGCCGGCCGGGCTCTCTGCCTTCGAGAACGGAGTAAGGGAGGTTGACACTGACTTCTTCACAGAAGGCTCCTGAGTAAAGTCACTGGAAGTTGAGCATCACAGCATCACTTACCTCTTCCAGGTGGCCTTCCTGTCGCGCCACTGTTGGGTGCACAGGCGGATTGCTACTGCTGCTGTGCCACGGTACAGGGTTAAGAGAGGCAGCGACGTGTTGAGTCGGCGCGAGCTGCATCGGGGGGACTGCCGGCAGGGTAGGCTCTTCACTCCAGTCAATGTCCTAAGAGACACTGTCGGCCTCACTGTACTGTGCAAGCCCCACATCTGTTGATACGTCCTCTTCCTCCTCCTCTTGCGACCTTCGACTAGTTGCCGCCTTAGAGGCGGTCACAGGCCTCCGTCTGTGGAACGCCTTCCACCACGACTCGGCAAACCTACACTGGAAGAGTCCCTGCCCGAGCGACACTGGCCGACCCCTCTTACTGAGCCCATTGCTGATTATCCGCTTTAGCCCCTTCACCCCATGCCCTAGAAGCCGCGGACCCTCCTGGACCAAGGCACATTAGCAGAACGCTGCCTATGTCCCCGTACTGTACGGACTGTAGGTACGGCCTGAGTAGTGACCGCCGGTGCCTCCACGGGCCGTAGCGGGGTCTTCCTCCTCTCACTTCAAGATCAAAGTAAGCATGCTTTGCCGGAAGGCTGGAGATTGTGACTCTACCCCATTAGGACTGCTCCTCCGCTTCGCCTCTTGAGCCATCGACTGGATCACATTCTTCAACGCGTCTTGGGACTTCCTGTTCAATCGAGTCGTCGAGGTGCGGCAGTTGGGCGCATACACAGCCAAATCTACGAAGGTTATCTGAGCTCAAGCGGTACCCAGCATGAGACCTCCGTCTGGTACCTTATAGTAGCCATTAACGAGGATCTCGAACACGGCATGGCCCCGACTAGCCTCTGTATTCTGCGGCATTTTCTCAAAGTGGCGATTGCTATCGCCAGTGAAAAGGGCCTGGTAGGCTGCCGACTCGTCGTCCACCAGCATTCTAGTGAGATCCTCACTGTGGGAAATCTTGACCCTCGGGGAAAGAAGATCGACGACCTCTTCCTTGTATATTTCATAAAAGGATATTTCAATTCGCATCGAGCTCGGCTTGTGATCAAACAGAAAGGTTAATGTTCGAGGGATCAAGCCCCGATCGGAGAACTTAGTAGCGCCACCAGTGACGCAGAAGGTTTTGCCGGCACCAGAAGGGCCAGCGGCCAGAACGAGGAGTCCCTTGTTATCACTGTCGGGCGTCTCGGCTAGGAGGTCCTTCAGGAACGGCTGAGGGAAGGACACACTGCACGGACACCCTCGGGTGAGTTCACCTTGCAGATCATCTCGAATAGCTCGTTCTGGGGCTTGCCTCCCTTGATAACAGAATCAAAGATAACGTCCCCACCGATGGTGCTATTGTCGATGAGCACAGACTTCCCACTGGCACTAGGCAGTATGCGACCTTTGCAGTTGGGATGTATTATACAGAAGGAGACTGCCAGTACAGCGATAACACAGTGGAGACCGGTGCCTGCTCCCACCTGCTTTACACGACCTCCCATAACCAGCAGGGCTCTCGGTATCCCCTGGTCGAGTCATTAAAGTGATAATATACTTTTCGACGACATCACGTTTCAGTCGCCATAACTCGATCGCCACAGAGTATCAAGCAACGAAGTAACACCTGGTTACGAGCTGAACTACACTGCTGCTTGCCAAGAAGCTCTTGGAAATGACCTCCTGAGACCGTAAGAGCCAATCGCCCACTGAGACAGAAGCACAATGTAGCATCATCATTGATGCTGCAAGCACACTGTAACAAATACTAAGTGCTCAACACACCGTGCTATGGAATCCAGTAGACGTAACCTTATCAGTTGGTAACCTGCTGCCGATTCATGTGGGTTATAGCAACACCATCAGTGCGTGGATTGACGGGTGAGGATGGTCTTCTCCGGGAAGTATCCTCACCCAGGGCGCGTTCTATGCAAGCATTATGAGAATGCAGAGTTGGACGTAAGATTAGCCATCTGCCTTCGGGTCAAACCCGCGAGAGCAGCTGAACGGGTGTTGAGCGACTAGTAGTGTCTGCGTGCTTATTTCCTAAGGAAATTTTCCTTTTCTATGATCGTGTGAGCACTCTCCCTGTCGAGTGACTATCGGGGAACCGGTCGAGGACGCCTCAAATAAAAATCCCGTGAGTGACCACGTGCCAACTAACCTATTTTCATCCGCCCTGCTGGCCCAATGGATAAGGCGCCACCCTCCTAAGGTGGAGATTCCGGGTTCGATCCCCGGGTAGGGTATTTTCAACACGTATCTTCAACCATTTCTTCCTTCAACTTCACCTCAACTACACCTTTTCTTGCGCAGATATAACAGATGAGCAGGCAAGATAGAAGATGAGCAACCAAGAATGGCAATCAGAATGCCAGTATGTAACAATGCAATTATGCTAAACTCAAGATTGGCATTGTCCCAGAACCGATCCACCTATTACCACCTCCCTCAGCCCCCGTAATCATTACCTTACGATCAGAATTGTCCACCATGGTTTACTCGCGCGGCATAGTCGTGGAGTACGTAGATGATTGAAATACTACATACAAGCTCACCACTGACATTGAAGCACTTCATTTGTCATCAAACTTGTATGGTATATTGCCAAGTGCGCTATGGCTGTACGCATTTGCCTCGGTCAAACTCAGACCATCCCAGACATTGCTTGTGTTATATCACTATAGTAGCAAAGTTAGATTGTCATTGTTAATCTTAGTTGTTATGTTCTCATTGTCATTCTGGACTGATAACTCTAAACCTTACATGCTCATGTGTCAAACTTGCGCGAGATGAGGCGCAGAACGGCGAAAAAGCCCACCACTGGAAGGCTACCCGGAGAATCAGGACGGATCGGAGAAGCTCCCACTCATACTACCCAGCAGAAATATCTCATAATGATGTCGTGAAAGATGTTCATTGAGTCGTTCCCGCTTGTTGAGCGCTTGAATGACGGGATGAATGCATCTGGCGATAATAAGAACCCCTAGGAATGATTAATAACCCAACGCTAGGACATGTCTAATATACTCGGGTCGTGGTAGACGACCTGTTTCAACGTTATGATACAGTACAATCTTCTCGATCGAAGTCCTAGTCGGTCTTATCCTCCTCATCATCATCATCATCCGAGCTCTCATCACTACTACCGTCAAGGCCCAGCATGGCGTCAAATCTGGCCATACTGTCCTTCTTAGCCGCCTTCTTCACAGGAGTTCCCTCGCTCTCGCCCTTCTCTAATTCAATAGCTCTCTTAGGTCTGCTCGAGCTACTACTAGAACCTATACGAACTACGGATCGAACCATGATAATAACGGAGCCTTCTACGACACCGATGAACCGACCCGTTGTTATTACTACTGCTAGAGGAAGGAGCCAAAACTCCTGCTATGGCTTCGGAGGGAGTAAGCCCACTGTTCTTGAGACCCTTCCGGATAAGGTCTGACCGGTCCCTCCCAGATTCCTTCAAGGCCTTAGTGTATCTGAGTATGGCTCATCCCAATAACGGTAATGGTATTTGCTTGCTACTCCTTATCCAGTTTGACCTCCTTCTCCACCGCCTTTCGAGTGGCCTTGGTAGCACTGTCTTCTTCAGGCCCTTTCAACGCTGCAACCTGATCGATACGTGGCCTTACTGGATACTCAAAGGCATCAGTACCAGCTCGTCGTCTTCCCTCTGCCTCTCCTCGAACTCCTGTATCCTCTCAGTCATCCTAGAATGACGTATTCGACGGCCATCGAGGTCCCGACAGGCATCGAAGTTGGTCGTCTTCTTACCACCTGCACACACAACTTGTCCATTCACTTCACGATAGAAATCAGGGCAGGAGATCCCCAGTGAGATCACGAGCTACGAGTGAATATCCGCGATGATGCCAATACAGTTGATATTACGTCCTTTCTGGCCTTTCAACAAGGACCCAAAACCACCCTTTCCGCCTACCAACCCCGACCCAAAGGCAACAGTAACCTAAACCTCGACATGGTTGAACGGGAAATATGTCATAAGCATAACCTACCACTGGGGCGCCGCCGATGAACCCTCCGTATCGCAGCTCGAAATCAACATCTTCTGGAATGCCGAACCTTACATGAGGAAAATTCCGATGAGCCGCGATGACAAGGCAAACCCATCAGAGAAGCGAAGACTCAGAAAAAGGCATGGGCCCACCTTACTACCTCTCCCTAGCAACACCGACCAGACCGTTCTGGACTATGTCCCCACAGTCAACGAACAGGCCACGCTCGCGACCCTGCTGCTCGAGTAGGACTTGAGGTGACATGATGAGTGGTCAACTGAGCGCAAGGGAGGATGGCCGAGCCTATGCAAATCCAGATTCGAGAACTACGGCTTGGAAACATCTACAGAAACGTGTTATTTCGCCCTTCGCTTCCCATACGCCCTAAGATATGCATCTTCGACTGGGCTCGCGATGCACCGATGGCCAGCTGAGACCACGGCCCTCAAGAGGTTCATCTTCGTAGGCTGGCTGTTCCGCAGTGTACGCGAAAACGATGTTGGACAGACGGTTCGTTGAGGAAAGTCAAGTAGAGACAGGTGACCAAGCTGTTGCGATCGTGGTGGTGGCGGCCGACGTGCCCCAGTGAATGGCAAGTTACAGTCCCTTTTAGAACTCGTTGTCGTATTGGCCGAGATTCGTTCACTGCTACAATCATTCTTAAGCTGGGTGATTTACCCAAGGTGGTGGCAGTCGGCCATTTCTTGGCGGGTTTTACCCGGGGTAAAACGTCGACAAGTTACGATCAGAAATCCTAGGTGATTTCGTCGACTAAATTCGATCATGGAATTTAAGTGATGACCAACTTCAGAGTCGGGTCAGTTCAGGACTGATGGTGTGGTCTTTCGCCCTGGGACTCTGTGACCGACTTCGCTAGGATCAGCTTAGTCACCATCATGGCTTTCTTCCTCACCTTTTTCCTCTCGGTATTACCACTAACTACAGTTGGCCTCGTCACCAACATCCTCCGCAGCACGGCTGGCGATATCCCCAGAATACTGCATATCGTAGGGGCTGGCAACAACCCTCCAGGGCTCCAAGGGCTCTCTGATGCCTGGCAACAGTTTTTCCCCGAGCCGCTCTACCACCACCACTACTGGGACGTTCTTGGTCCCGATTCCACGGCTTGCTTCAAGAAGCACTTCCCCTCCTACCTACCGCTCTTCCTCAAACAGCAGATCTCGGTCCGTATGGCGTCACTGCGGTACTGTGCCCTCTTCGACTCGGGTGGCGTGTCGGCCGATCCCGGCATCGTGGTTCAGCCGGGCTTCCCTCACGACCTGTTGATGGGTGGTAGAGTGTCCATGGTTAACCTTCCCCTTGCTGGGACTTCACAGTATGGTCTCTTCATGGCCTCTCCACGGGCCCATCCCCTCTGGCGCCAAGTCATGCCCCAGGTCATGCAGTACTTCCAGCAGTACCCTCCCGTGCCTTGCGATGGTCCTGACTCGTGCGACGTGGCCGACCCATGCAACGAGGAGCCATGTGAGATGCCCTCGCCTGTAGTGGTCACCGCTTCGGTCCCTTGCCAGGGTAGCGGCCCATGCCCAGACCAGTCCCTAGGCAACGTAGTGTACAGCCAAGTCGCGACGCCATGCAGTGGACGGGAGCCTTGCGGGGATACGACAACACCTGTTGTGGTCGCTGCCAACCCTTGCGATGGTAACGAACCTTGTGACGACTCCGAGCCCACAGCCGACGATACTAGGCTCAGCACAGCCTCTAACAGTCCGCCAGCAGGCATGGTCCCTTACGCTGTTGGTCGTGGTAGCAGTGGTGGAGGTACCAGCAGTCCCTCCCTCTCAGGGTCCCCGGCCTTCCAGGTGGTGTCGTTTCCGATGTCCTCCCTCCTCGAACGAGTCGGAGTCAAGTCCCGCATGCATTTCGCTGACTGTTCTCGTGCAGAATACATCATGACCTCTTACTGTAGTTCAGCAACTACTACGGGCGGCGGCGGCGCCACTACGGCCAGGACCGTGCATGAGAGCCGACAATACAAGTCCTCTAGTGGAGGAAATCCAATACCGCCACCGCTGCCGAGTTTCTACTACTATCCACCCATCGGTCCACATCCCTACCCCATGATGGTCCCTCCACCGTTGCCATATATACCCTATCAAGGGCTCGACTATTCGCCCAACGGGGCGTCCCTGTCCGAGAGGGCACTAGAGGATGTCAAGGACATGGCAGTGCAGTCTTAAGAGGTCAGTAGTCGTATCCCTTTATTGCGTCTTATGGACGCTATGCGCATGAGACTCCTCGTGACTACTATACTTTCGCTGTTCCGAGAGGCCTTAGCGCCTCCATGGTCCTACCAATGGTAGGATGCATGCCTGAGTGATAATGTCAAACGTTGACGATGTGTGTTGTGTGCAGTTTCAACGGAAAGGGTATCTAAGGTTCCCGCGTGCAAGATACGGATGAGGTCAGGAGTGTGTGGACGGCAGGTATGTGTTTGGGCTTTTCCATCTGTGCTTATGACGGCCTCGTCTGCTATAACACTCTCCACACCAGCAGCTAAGTCGTTGACCTCTCTGGACTACTCTTCAGTGGAGTTGCCGATAAAGGCCTCCGTCAAGGGTGTCCGTACCGGCGTCTCGACCTTCCGCTTCACGTGCATCGCAGCGTGTCGTGGGCCAAAGGTGGCCCTCGGTACTCAGCACGGGCACACCATCGTCGTATCCCATGAACTGGGTGCCCAGAGGGTCCGGACTATACGACCACCAGCGGAGGATGCAGGGCCAGCCCGGAGCGTGGACTGGTCGGTGGATGGATCTGGACTGGTAGTAGGGTATGCCTCGGGGGCAGTGGCGCTGTTCGATGCCAATACCTACGCCTTACAGAAGCTGGTTCGGGACATGCAAAACAGTCCCATAACGGCTGTGGCCTTTTGGGGGCCTACGGGGAGGCAGAACCTTCTGACGACAGATGAGCTTGGTCGTTGCTACATGCTCACTTTCAACACTTTTTTGGTGACGATGACGTGTGAAAAGAAGCTCCTATTAAAAAAGGAGAAACCAGTGAAGGCCATGGCGGCTCTCCGAGGATCCAAAATGGTCGACGCTGGTTTGGTCGCGATGGTATCAGAGGAGGCCTTGACGGTGGTGGGCATGGTCCCAACCCCGAGGCTAGTTTTTGAGATGCCTTTGTCGGAGGCAGACTCCTTGAGCCTCTGTTGGTGTACTGAACCTGTCATGCTTTGCGTCGGGGTCGGCAAGACCCTGCACATGCTCAGGCCCCGAGAGGACTTGACGACGTTCGATGTCATCGGTCAAGTCCTTCTACCGTCGAAGGACTTCTCGACAGGCTTCAGGGGCATTCGGTGTGTCGGTGGAGGTCTCGTTGCTGCCGTGGTGGCCCCAGCGCAGGAGCCCAGCGCCCGTGAAGTGATCCTAGTGCAGACGAACAGACCCCGAGGGACGATGCTGAGGGGCACTGGCCAGGTCGTCTACCGGCACAGGCTCTTGGGCACCTACTGCCCTGACCTCATAACAGTCATTGGCTCTACCGTCGTCCTTCCCGGTTACCAGGCTGGGGCCGATTCCCACCACTTCACAGAGGTCACTGTGGGGTATTGGCAAGACGAGATCAAGAAGCTTATGGATCAGCAGGAAATGAGTGCGGCTATCACGTTAGTGTCTGGCATTGGTAGTGGTAGTCTGCCCCAACTCGCTGACGTTTATCGGCCGAATTCGGTAGAAATGGAAGCCCTCTTGCGGGTGTTCCTACTGGACATGCCCAAGGACGACCTCGAGAGGGTCCAGGAGTGCGTGACCTTGGCCGTGGATGCCTGTGCCAGTATGGCCCTATGGGACTTCCTTTACAGTGTTGTCTTTGCTCGTTGCGAGGCATGTGGCGAAGCGGTGCGGGACGTCTATTTAAAGGTAGTTGAGACCAGACTACGCTCCGGAGTCCTTCCTGCTGGTACCGTCGACTCTGAGATCGTGGCCTTCGTTCTGGCGAGGTTTCAAGACGAGCTCGCCAAGGATCCCACAGTGGAGGTGCGCAGGGCGGCGGAGGACTTCTGCCTAAGTGTGAACCCAGAGAGTTTGGACCTCAATTTCACCACCCGAATGGCGACCGAATTCGGTCTTTGGTCGGTTGTGGTGTACATTTACAACGTGGCCTTCGGTGACTATACCACACCTTTGCAACTTTTCGTTGATGCCTCAGTCAGGGCCATGGAGAGGCTACAGGCCAAGGGCCAACGTCAGAGGCTCGCTAGCATGCCTCTTGTGGAGTACCTTTACTCGTATCTTGCTTCTACTCTGGCGGGGAAGCCGTACCCTTTGGAGACCCCCACTCCCGTGCCCAAGCCACCCGCCACGGCCGTCAACGACCTCGTCAAGGCAGTATTTAGTGACACTTCTGGATGCTTCGACCAACTCCTCGAGATCTCAGCCTCCGAGTTCTTCAAGGCTCTACCCTTGACCGAAGAGTGTATACAGCAGTGCAGCATTCGGATGACGAAGAGGCCGGACCGTGATGTGGATGCAGAAGCCTGGAGAAGCTATTACGTATTCGTCGCCAAGGCTTGCCAGGTCCTGGGGATTGCCATTGAACCTAGGGAGGTTCGGCAGCAGGTTCTGAAGGTCATGCTGGAGGCCTTCCCGGAGAAGCGGATACAAGTGGCATTTGAGAGGATATATGAAGACGATAAGTGCGCATCGATCGACGTCGCTGAGTTCGTGAAGGAGGCGGCGGCCAAAGGCATGCGGTCTGTCCAGGCCTGGGCATTAGGGCATTGTCTGGGGGATTACCAGGAGATGCTAGCATGCTATTTGGACGCGCCACAGCTCAGCGAGGATATATTCGACGATATCATACGTAGTGATGACCCGCAGATCTCTCGAGGCATCCGGACGGCTGCGCTGGCGTTGGTCCGAAGGCTCATAGAATTGAACCCGGCAGAGACTGGGCGGCTCTTTATGGATGGCACTCTTGAATTGGAGGAGTCGACCGGGCCTGTTGTGAAGCTCGGGGACATTTCTGATGACCTCTACTGCGCATTTTTATTGCCGCTCTTGAACCCAGACTCGTCGTGGCGGAACGCTGAGGGTCGGAGGAAGTTCTATCGCGCCCATGCGATGACCGGGCTGGAGCTGCTACTACGGACTGATCGCCAGTCGGGCGTCTCGAAGTTCCTACTTAGAGCTGATAAGGACGCTATACCGCTGGACCAGGCACGAGAGCTGTGCCAGAGGTACTCGAGCGTTCAGGGCATGCTCTGCCTGTGTGAGAAGGCCGAGGACGATGATGGTGCTGTGACCACTGTATTGGACGCTCTAGCCAAGGCTCAGGAGGAGTCTCATAAACTCGAGTTGGTCTCGCTAGCAGCGGACTTCACCCTCAGGCGAGCGGAGAAGCTCCAGCCAGAGCAAATTTCTAAGCTTTGGATGCCCTGTTTGGCGATGGCATGCGACGACTTGCAGATTTCGGAGATGCTCCTACGCAAGGGGGGAGTATTGGATTTGGTACCCGTGGGTCAGTCTATTGAGACGCTGCTTCGGAAGCGGCCGGGTCGACGGGTTGATGATGATGCCCTACGGAAGCCTCTGGTGAGCCTCTTGGGCGGTATTGGCTTTTCCTACTCGTTGGCAGAGGCGACCGAAGATATATGCCGACAGGACGCTAGTAAGCTGTTCTCTGACTTGGTGTCTCGGCAGAGTCGTGCCCTCAGCGTGGGCTCGGTCCTCTGTCAAGGTTGTCAGAGGCCCCTGGTGGGTGAAGGGAATATCTCTGGCAAGGTCACCATTTTCGACTGTGGCCATACGTATCACGACAAGTGCTGCCAGCCCGAGCCTGACGAGATGAACCCGAGTCCAACACTGAGGGAGTGTAAACTGTGTCGGTGGGGGTAGTCACCATAAGACAGGATCCGCGTCCTTGGCTCTGTTGTACTATTGGTATTGAATCTTAATCCTGGCATCGACTGTAACATTCACCACACTGTGTGTCCATATCGCGCGTTTCTAAAGCCGTAGGGCTGCTCTTGTTGGGTTCGACAGTTGGGGGCGGTCCTCCTTGGCAGACAGGGTTACCCTCGGTGGTATCTTCTTTTTAATGTATCGGTCGTATCGTCGGCTCTGTGCGGTGATGAGGGTGGCTGGCCCTTCCGAAGCGGGTCAGCAGATGGAGATTCGGCGGCTCCTCAATACGTGGGGGAAAGCGGATCTTGTGGACAACGTCGAGGCCCTGTGGAGGGACCAGGCCCTGAATGATCGGAACAAAGTCCATGCTGTGTACCGCCTGGTGTCGGTCAACTGTGAAGATTCCTCTAAGCTGCTGGAGAGGATTCTGGACGAGGTTGTAGTAGAGGTCGAGGGCGGTCGCTTTTCTCATCCACAGTCTGTGGCCCGGCTCTGCTACTGCTGGGCGAAGGCTCGTCCCTCTACACCGCTGCCGGAGTGCCTTTCGGCTGTCCTCTGTGACGACAAGCAGGGAGCCCGTGGCCGGCGAATAGGACGGCTCAACTCGGGAACGCTAGCGGGACTACTGTGGGCCTATGCCAAGACCCCTGGGACGGCTGGGCACGAAAGTGTCTTCTCCGTGGCATCAGAGCATCTTGCTACTAACCTGACCTCCCTGAGTGGTACGCCAATACGGGAGGTATGTATTATGCTGTGGTCATTCGCGGCCTTTTGGAAGCACCGCCGTCCAGAGCCTCTGCCGTTTGAACTCCTACTTGCCTTAGCTAGTAGAATCCTGTCGGACCCATCAGCCCAACCGCGGGAGATGGCCAGCGCGCTGTGGGCAGTGGCGACCCTTGAGCTCTGGAGAGGTGACCAGGACCGAGCTGTAGTGCCGATGTTACGACAGGCTATAGAGGCAATGCTCCCCGGGTGGCCATATGGATTTCCTACGAGGGAGTTCAGCAACGTACTATGGGCGGTCACCAGGACAGAAAGTCTGGTGAACTCGATGGAGGTACGGCAGCTGATGGAATCGGCGTGTCGGCTCATCCTGGGTCGAGGGGGAGGGAGACCTTGGAAGGTGGAAGAGCTCGCGATGGTCGCTACTGCTCTGTCGGGTTATATAGGGAAAGTGGAGAAGGAAGACCGGCACGCCACTGAGGCGCTGGTCACAGTTATGAACTCAGTCGCTTCCGTCGGCTCAGTGGACGGCAACCTAGCGACATTCGCTCAAGCCATGCTGCCCGTGGCGGACCGAGTCGATCAGGCTGCCAAGGCCAAGCTGCTGGTCACGGCAGAGGAAGCCTTGAAGGCTTCTAGGTTGGACACTACGGCTCTGATCTCCGTGATTGACCTTTTCGGGGAGGAATCTCCATCTGCGGCTCTCGAGGCGGCCTGGAAGGCAGCCATAGGACTAGTGCTACGGCACATCAGGGAAGGCCGGCCGGTCGAGATCCGATCACTGGGCAGTGCAGGAGCGCGGGAGGTGTGTAAACAGCTGGGGGTCCTGGGGGCTCCTAGCGACCTTCCAGGAAATCTTCAGGCTAAACTCGTTGGCCATCGCTTCGCCTCAGTCGTGGAGTACGTCCTTACACCAGAGGATGGCGATGGGGAGTCTGTTTCTGGCCCGCCCACGGTCTTCCTCCCAGTGCCTCAGAATACCTCTTCTGTCACAGTGCTGACGCCCTACCATCACGGCTGGGTCCGCAACACCGAGCCAGACTTCAGAGCTCTAGAGGAGGTGGCGCGAGTATTGGAGGCCCATCGAGACACCCACGACTGCGGCTGGGTGAGGCTGGTCCTCAGCCGGGCACCATGCGTGTCCAGCCTGGCTGCGATGGCTCAGTTCGTGGAAAGGTACCCCGACGTTGACCTTCGAGTTTGGTTTCACCCTCCTCCATGGAAGTTGACGTGCATAAAGTGATTGGTTTCTTGCCAGCCTCAGAGTTTCGTTGGTCGACAATGCTTTCATCAGGCGTGATCTAGAACACGAGCAATCTTTCTATGGCCGCCGCTTCGGTGACTCTGACGGCCGTGACGGTGGTACGGGAAGCATGGCCTCGGCACTCCTGCTTGTTGTCCCCGGTTGACCTGCCCGACGCGAGGATGGTCCTCGTAGAGAGCAGTAGGAGTGGCCATAAGGTATGTGGTGTCTAGCCAGCGTCTTCATGTTTGGGTACGGTTATCTCAGATCTGTCTCTGGTCTCTGCGGTCCCGCAAGGTCGAGGCTGGCCGGATGGAGTTGCCCACCTGGGCCCGACGACAGCTGGGATCAGAAGTGACGGTCACTCATCTAAGTAACATCACAATCGGCAGAGAATATCACTCATTCGCTTTCTACCCTTAGATGAACAGGAACCTTCTCCAGCGTCGTGGAGGCTCAGCCTTCCTCGTCGTGCCCACTGGCCCGATGTGCTCCAATCCATGTCTCTCAATCCAGAAGTCCTCCGGAGTGCTGCCGAGCGTCAACTGAGGGCCTGGCCCTTCCTAGCACAGGGGCATCTAGTATGCCTAAATCTACTCGGCAAAAACGTTGAATTCACGCTGGATGGGTCTGGACATAATGAGACCTTATTCGATGGCTTTGCTCTACCCCAAAGTCACAGTGTCACCCCGTCACCACCTACCAGAAGTTGCCTCTACTACAACTGCCCCGACGACCTTCGATTCGCCGACTCCCTCGAGCTCAGTGCTTTCGAGCTGCTAACTTTTCGTCCAGACCGTCGCAGCTTCCATAACCTGTTGGGAAACCTCGGCCCAAAGGCGGTAACTCTCCTCGACGTTTCCCACACCCCTGCCAACGCCGAGGTCTGTGAGGGCTTATGGGAAGCCTGTCAACGATTGCGGATTTCCCTGCTAGTGGTGGCTAGAGGCAACCTCGCAACTGTGGCAGGCGCTTGGTTGTCCAAATTCGACAAGGCCGATCGGATCGACTGTTCCCCAGCCTCAGAGGAGTCTACTGTCAGCACTAGCGCGTCGGCTTCTGTGCCCTGCTACGGTTTGGAAGAGGAACGCCAGCTCCTCAAGGAGGCCGTGGTCTTACCCTTCCTCTACCCTAATCTTTATAGGCGCATGGGCTTACGCCCCAGTGCGAGAGTGTTGGTCCATGGTGTCAGTGGCAGTGGTAAGAGTACCCTAATAGACTCTGTTCTGGCTGACTTCATGCCCTCGAGGGTATCTATCGTGCGGGTAGGCGTCCTCTTCATTTGGCGGCCCCTTCCCGGATATACGTGGACCTCAGGTGGACGTGTCTGGCATCTTTGGGAAGTACCTCGGCTCGACTGAGCGTAACTTGCAACGGCAGTTCGATGCGGCCAGGCTCAAGCTTCCCGCTGTACTCATCTTGGACGGCCTAGAGTCAATCGCGACGGCACGGGAGGATGCGGCCGATGATGATGGTACGTCCTGGCCGAGACCACAGTGTGTTCCATAGTAGCAATGAGGCTTCCCTCAAGTGACTGCCATGGGTTCAGTCAGACTCGGTGGGTATCCATCCCGCAGGTACATCCGGAACGTATCGGCGTACACTGACTACCCTCCTCACTTGTCTCGATGGAGTAGATGCCGATGTGGAGGAGTCGTTGGCGGTGGTTGCTACCTCGACTATCTCACCGGAGAGGCTGGACCCAGCAGTCGTCCGTCCAGGTATGATTACCGACTAGGTTGGCCGCATGAAGTGTGGGAAGATATGCACCTGGTCGAATACATGTGTTGGTGACAATATGGAACTTTTGGGAATTTCTCGCTGGTTCCTGTACACTTCTACCCGAATTCGAGTATCAGAAATTAGCGACGAAAGCGAACATATAATCCTCCAACACTGATCGATGCTGATGTCCTCCCTCTTCTCAGGCCGCTTCGACAAGTGGATTGAAGTCCATCGAGTGAGCCTCAGCGATGTGGTCACCGATGAGGACTTGCCCCAAAATGAAACGTTTCTTGCCTGACGCTCGCCTTGGTTGAGTTCCTTTGCAACAGCCAAGGGCCTCGTGTTAGCGATTCCTGCTTATGGTTGACTGCCCGCCCCCGTCCTCACCATGCATCTCCTGTGACACAGCCGGTGCCGTGTGTAGTCCCTATGATGATTATAATGGTTCCTACAATAACTATCCTCGGGGTCTCTTTTGGGCCCCTAGGGGAAAGCATCTAGTGTCCTACTTCGCTGATAATACCTGTCGGGTATTCGATGTGGACCAAGGACTGGCCCAACCTACGCGAACCGAGCAGGCCTCGGGGACTATAACTGCAGTGGAGATGTGCCCATTGGGAGCTGAGTGAGTACAGCCACTGCAGCCCCTTCACTGAATCTTCTTTCAGGCCGGCTGATTTCCACTATGCAGTTTCGGTGAGAGATCGGCCGATTCATCTGGTCAACCTCCTCACTGGAGAAGTGGCCGCGAGGTGGGTCCGCGGCTCGCGCTTTATCTAGCTCAGTGTCACCATCGCAGTTACCAAGGCTACTCCCTCACTGATGAGGTTAGAGCCGCCTCGTGTCTGGCTTTCTCCCAAGACGGCTCGCGTTTGCTCGGTGGTGTCGCGGGGCAGCCTCAAGTGTGGCTGTGGGACCTCACTCGTCCTGGCAAGAGCGCCTATCATCGTGTACCACACATCCTTCTAGGTTTCCCCCAGTGCCAGGGCTTCACGTTAGGTATTATCAACTCGCAAAGGGAAGACAGGCCAGCGTGGCATCGTCTCGGCAGCGGCTTGGGTTGATGACAAATGCTATGCCTTGGGAACCTACAGCCGGTGAGTGTGGTTTACCGTTACCCTATGGGGCTAGGGTGCTTCACTCAGTACTATTGGTATATATGATGAACGCCAAGGGTCCAAGAGAAACGCCAAGTGTGTGAAGATGTTGTCGGCCTCAGATGGCGGTGGGATCACCTCGCTCAAGTGAGCTGACCCTCCTTCCTTGCACGCGAGCCCTTGTGTAACATCGTTTGGCCAGGTTGTCTCCCCAAGGGTTGCTGGTCAGTGGTCATCGAATGGACACTTCAATGCGGGTGTGGGACTTGAGGTCCTCCGGTGTGGAACCCGTGACGATGTTGCCTCGCGCGACCAAGACCAATCAGCGCTTCGACTTTTCCTTCCTGGGCAATAGTCGGATTCTCGCAACTGGTGACGATAGTGGTCATGTCCTTTGGTAACGCCCTCGCACTCACTGCTGTTCTCCCACACGCATTCTTCCGCAGGTACGATACTCTCACTGGGGACTTGCTGGGCAAATGCTGTGTGGCCTCTTCGGGGGCTCCGTGCATTGCCGCTGAAATAGAGCCTGTCAGCCTCAGTAGACTCGCAGTGGGGACTGGGCAGAGAGTGTGGCCCACGTAAGTGGACGCAGCCTACCGGTTCAACATAGGCTATCGCAAATCGCTACAGGTACGTCTCAATGGGCGACGATGACAACACAGAGTTGCTACAGCCCAAGACGGACAATAGGGTAGCTGTAGTGAATTTCAGTGCCCCCGAAGGTCTCCTCTCGACCACCTTGCCAGCTGCTGTCCCGACTCCTATCGAGGCACCGCCCCAGAATGACCAGCCCGTCATGGGTTCTGACTCGGAGGAAGCCGCAGCTCAGGTGTCTGAGCTGGCCGAGCCTCAGTCTGTGATCATACCGGAGGCTTTCAAGGGTCTACCGCCCCCGCCTGGAGTGATAACGCCCCCTTGTAATGCTCAAATGCCCTGTAATGATAGTCATGAAGACCCTGCTGATTCCTCGCCTCTGGAGGGCCAAGCCGAGGCCGGCCCAACCACTGGAGCTGGTGATATCGACATGACGGATGCTACCGAGCCTTGACTCCTCCTAACGTATCCTAGTAATACTCTATACTATTCACTGTCTCAACCGCTTGAGCTGTTTCTGGCAGAAGCTTGTGGTCGAGTTCACTGGGATGGGGTCAGTCATCGTGCCCCCGTATAGGTATAGTAAAATTCAATATTGCAGCCAACGCCGCCTCAGCGAGCTCGTCCGACTTCCGGGCAAGGTTCATAGAGCCGTATCAATTTCAACACGGCAACAGCATCATCCTGTTGCATCAGAGGTACGCTACCACTCACTGCAGGCTTGAATCCTTTACTTCTAGAGCCCCCTCATTGGCCGCATCGAACCCTTCTGAAGGACTTGACCAAGAAGAGGCAGACCCCCTGAACACGGGTGTAACTGTGTGGCCGTCATCAGCTGACCTTGCATCTCGTTTGATCGATGAAAGTGGCAGTGGGAGTCTCCTTGATGTCGCTGGTAAGCGTGTCATCGAGCTCGGGTCCGGTTGTGGTCTTGGTGGTCTCGCATGTGCTGCGGCGGGCGCCAGTAAGGTTACTCTCACTGATTTGCCAGAGGTTCTCAACGACGTAACGAAGCGGAACATCGGGGCCAACTCGGTCCTCACGTGGGCATGTGACCTGCAAGCCAAGCCACTTGCCTGGCCTGGGGAGGACTCGGCCGAGCTCGGCGACTTTGATGTGATTCTCGGTGCTGATCTCATATATAGGGAAGCTGATGTCGATCTCCTCCTGGCTGCTATCCGAAATCTGGTACAACATAACCGTGTACAGAGATTCATATGGATGCAACCATCCCGGGACCCTATAGCCAACGCTAAGGCCATGAACTGTTTCAGAGAGAATGGCCATGGTGTCACAACAGTGGGTCCAGACCTCTACGTCGTCGACTTATCGGTTTCTACTGACCGAGAGCAACAAGTAGTGAGCGAAGATACTGCAGTTGTTCCCGATAAGGCTCAAAGTGTTGACGAAGGCGGAGAGATAGTGCAGCGAGGCAAGCGCTCTCGCGAGGATAGTGATGATGATGCAGAACCGATGAAGAGGTCTCGGGCAAGAAGAGGGTCAGTTTATCCTGGCATGGAGAGTTATGACGCGGCCGTTTTTACTGCGTTCGAGAGCTGTGGTGTGCGAAGTGATAATGATTCTGATGGCAAGTCGAGTTCCAGTAGTGATGAAGATGCTATTGAGTAACGTCTGTAAAATGCACGTAGAATGCGTTCCTCCACGAGCTATCGAGTTGTTTGAGTTCGGGATAGTGGCTGAAGTATGCTATTGCTATGGTAGACTGCAATTAGTAGTCAATGCAACTCACTCCGGATGACGAGGAACGGCGATCGGCTCGCGGGCCACTCGCTCAACAGTGGGCGATCCGACATGGTAATCGCGTGATATACATAAGGCTGAATATCGTTGTGATCAGGCATACAACTGCATCCCGCCGTCTCCTGGTTCCACGCCACGAACGGTATGATTGGTTGTACGGCTACCGCTGACATTTGCCAGGGCGAGCGACTTCTATACGTCCCTCATTCCGCGTGTGTGACACCCTCTGGGGTTCAAGGCTTATACGAACCGCAGGTTATGCTCGCGGCTTCACTGGTGAAGCATAGAACCGATCCGAACTCACCATTCCACGATTACTTGCAGAGCTTACCGTCCGAATTCGACCATCCTCTCGAGTGGTCAGCTGATGAGCTCGTCTGCCTGAAAGGCACTACTGTATGGGAGATGCATCAGCTCTCTCTAGAAGTCGTCGACAGCGTGGTGGAGCTCTGTCCCAATTCCCCTCGAGCGATGATTCGTTGGGCCGTTGAGGTTATGATGTCTCGAGCTTTTGAGTCGGAGGTTTGCGGTCTTTGCGTGATACCTCTCGCGGACCAGTTCAATCACTCATCGACCAAATGGCATACAAGAGTGCGCGAAGTTGAAGGAGGTTTCCAGATGCTCGCAGAGAAGCCCGTGAAAAAGGGTGAAGAGATCTTCAATAACTACGGACTATACACCAACGAGATGCTTCTACTGACCCACGGCTTCATCGAGTTTGATAATCCTCACGACCACTTTATAACCATAGAGGTTTCGAATGCGGCCTTCGCTGTGGATGTGAATGACACTCAAGTTATACCCGACGATATACGGGACTATCTTGCTTCCAAGGGGATATCAGGTGAAGGGATTATTCAGATGTGCTCAGAAGCTAACGAGAAGGCCATCAGGGGCTTGCGACCGATATCGAAAGCCGATACCTATCGGCAAGAGTGCGCCAAGCGAGTGATTGATATCGAGTTGAATTTACGAAACCGATGGAAAACTCGTGTTTTATGCTTAACAGAATAGTACTGCTTCTCTCAGGAGAAAATCATTGCGTTCAAAGTTAGCATAGGCGATTCATCTAATGTAATCTACTCGGTGGATTTGATGTGGTTGTTCAACGTGATCACTGGCACAATGCGTTGATGAGCTAAGCTTTCTGATCCGGACAATTTGTAAAGGCCCCGTTCTAGTCATAGTCAACTCAACAGCACTCAGTTACATACACTCCCACTTGAGGAAAAAATCCTTCTTGCGTACCATTATCAGGGCAGTAAAATACAATACAAATGTAGCACTCTACAGGCTTTCAGAGCAGTTGAGTTGAACGTCATTGACTAGCTGTCGACGTTAGGCATCAACAACTAGTAGCCTTCTTATGCCAATCCAAGCCAAACACCGAGACCCATGGCCACGAAACCTCCGACACATAGACCTGAATAAAACAACGCGTTCAATGAACGTGGACGAAGCATATGGCCCTCTGATATCTTACCTGAGTTGACCGCCACAGCAGAGAAGCGGCCTGTCGCCTTAAGCTCGGGACCGGACAGGCCAGGAATCTCGTTGATAGTGATCAAGGAGAGACTGCCAGAGAAGCCGTTTCCGAATCCGAATAAGGCAACAATAGCCATCGAAAACCAATCGTTGCGGAAGAAGCCCGTAGCACACATCACGACCAAGGGGAAGATCAACATACCTAACAGGCAGCTCATCAAACGTCAACTCACAGGATGTGGAAATGAGAACTTACGGATAACCGCAGTGATCCAGATGTTCCCATAATAAAGAGGACCGCGGTGGCGCACACAGAATCGAGCGATAACGTCGAAAACTGTGAAGACGGACAACAGAATAGTCTGGTACCAGTGAGCGGGGGCCAACGCTGTTAAATTGTAGCAGGGAATAGCAGTCAGAATCTGTTGGAAATCAGACACTCTAGAGAAAACGGGACATAAAGCTTGTGACTTACAGCAGGGTAGCAAGCAGTAGTCAAGACAAATTGCAGGAAGATGACGAGTTCGTTAAACCACACTCTGCGGAGAACCTTCCAAATGTCAACCTGCTCTTCCTTCTTTTCTGATAAGAATCTCGTTACTCGTAAAGTGGCACGTATTGGACAGGCTACCTAGCAGAGATTCCTGGCTCGAGCTGGCCTCACCCTCGTGGATATGAGCGGAGATGGGCATTCTCATGAGGGACACGTAGCTTGTAATACAAACAATCACCTGCGACGTAATACATTGACAATCGAGGGTCGCCGAGAACTGAACTCACCGTAGCAAGGGCAGCCAAGAAGTAGATGGATGTTGAGTTAGCTTGAGAGGTCGAGATCAGCTTGGTGATGTCTCGGTAGACGACAGACACGAACGTAGAGAAACCTGAGCCGACGAAAGGAGGGTAAACATGAAATTAATCGCATTAATCTCCTCGTAATTTAGTCGTTTCTTGCAATTTGGGTCAATACTGTGAGTCAGGCGCGAAGAGAGAGTAATCGAGGAAGCTAGTTGTAATCAACATTGCGAATTTCCACAGTACGACAGGACTTACCGATGCCGATCTGGAGAGCCTCCTGCATCTTGGGCGAATACTGAGAGTTCAGAGCTAGTAGAGCCGAATCCAAAAACCCAGTCACCACAGACATCAAGAACCTGGCACAAACGCTCTGTTGAGTCCATGTCTATCGAGAAACGACGCGTGTCGAGTAGAACACTTACACTAGGCCGAGCAAGATGGTGTATACCACGTCAGCAGGAAGACCCAACCAACGGAATAGGAAGATGACAAACAAGCAGCAGAACTGTCCGCTGAAGCCACCCAGGATTCGACGGTGGAATTTCATGGACTTGCCCAGGGAGAGGACCAGGACCGTCATGACCGAACCGAACTGGTACAGACAGGTGACCACGAACTCAATGTTCTTGTCAGGGAACAGGGTCTTCCAGTAGTCGAAGGCTGCCCAAATAGCTGAGGAAACAACTTACACTTTCACATACGAATAGCAAAGCTTACCAGAGATTGGGAATAGATAGCCGATACCGATGATAACCATCCGGGTATATGCTCCTGTAGTGACGGTCACAAATTTGTCCTTCTCCAGAGCACCGGCCTCACCGGCGGACACGGTGTTCACCACTGGTTCATTAGTTGCACTCATGAGCGAGAGTTAGTGGAGGTGAATCAAGTATTACAAAGTCGGAATAACCAACACTGAAGCAACAACATAGGATAGCATCTACAGAGAGCGCCAGACCTCTGTGGACCCTACCACTAGCCCGAACCCAAGAAACCACGACACAGTACGATAAATCATTCTGGGAGCTAGTGAGCGACGAGATGCACAAGGTCTACGACTCTCTATAGTAGTTGAGTTCAGCGTTGGGCAATGACCAGAGAAGAGACCTGGAGAGCTTCGAAAGCTACACAATACAGCTGTCCCTTACACGAAAATTCCTCCATTCGTAACACTCGCCTAAGCTTTGATAAATAGCTAATACAGCTTAATCTCGGGTTCGCTCGCACAGCTACAATCGAAGCCTCTCCGTGAACCAACGCAAGTCGTCATGATCCTCTCAAGGGAAAAGTTATACATTCATGTGCTGTGCATGACGGCGGGGGTCGGCCCTACTCCACATCTTCCGCGTAGCTGTAGTCCGCCTGAAGACGTAGACATAGATATCGCCATCGCTAGTCTCCGCTCTGGTTGTCTTGATACCCATGATACCTTGTGATGCATGACGAGAATATCGTCTATAAAGTAGAAGCTGTCACTCTTGGTCTCCCAAGGGGCTTCAATCATCGCCTTCTTCTCTTCAGCTGTGAGCTCGGGCAGTTCATATATCACCTACAGTCAACCAAGCCCGGCTGTTGAGACGAGACTCCTTCCATAACAACAACGTAGACTATCAAGAAGAAGATAGCGCTCGCCCCAGGCCGTTTGGGGCGTACTCCTCTGACGCCTGGTCAGCCGCCGGTGCCGAGCCCAGTACGAAAGTTACCTCCCACGTGTTCACGGTGTTGGGCATACAGTAGGGCATTGTGAAGTCATAGGACTTGAGGATCTTGTCCTTGAAATAGTGACGCTCAATCATGCGGAAGTTGTGGACCGGCTTATCCCCAACTGTGAATTCCAGTCTGACCAACAACCGAATTGTAATCAATGGCAACAGGGCTACTCAATGAGGCCACACATACTTCGTTCCAACGTGCTCAAGTTCTAGAAACCGCGGTCCGAACTGGTAGCGAATGTTCCGCTGAGCCGCTTCCTCCATCTGAGCAGAGCGGCTTGTCGCCCCCTTGTGAGGCGGTTCCTGAAATGATAGTCGCGGTACTGACGACCGCAGTTCATCCATGCGATACACCCGCGGCTCCTAACAGTACCAGCATTTTGCCGTATCAATCGAAGAGCTACGGAGGAGAGACTACTACCTTGGTGATCTCCAACAACTTCCTTCCCGTGTCTGCATCGCGTACTATGAAGCCAATGAAGTCTATCCCATACGTGTTAGCCGATGCCGGGCATAGGAAGTCCTCTGTGGCGCAGGAGAACTTAGTGACCACTTCCGGAGTCACCCATTCCCAGCCAGTGAAGCATTTACTATCAGAAGGCTTGGCGCTCCCGACCAACAGCTGAGAGTCGGAATCTGCCGAAGTCGGTTCCATACTTTAGATGAAGTTTCGCTATAACAAGAAGGCTTAAAGCCGAGGGGGGGGGAGGGGGGAGGGAACTGCCGCACAGACACCTATCTGGTCTCTAACATTAGTGCTAGTCTGACCTCACGTCGGCCCAACGGAGCTGCATAGCGGCCCGGCTGGGGACGTAACGTCGCTTTGTCTCAGCTCTACCAAGTACAAACTAGCATATGACAATAATAGCACAGGAGCTCTCAGTTCACAGAGCAGCCTACAACCAAAACTAAACTACTGCCTCGAGTTGTGGCTATGTATGCTCCCCAACATCACCGGGCGACAATCAAATTTCTTTACGTCTACCATTGACCCAACACTAAAACTCAACTGTGATCGCGTGCCTGGTAAAAATCGGACAAAAGCAACAAATTAATCGTCCTTAATAGAACAAGACTTAGACCGTCCTGCTCATCTATACTAGACAGCCAGCCCTTCTCAAAAGGGTCCTACAGCATAATCCACCGCGTTACAAGGCGACCCACGACTCGCAATCCGAGTCGCCGTCAGTGTGACAGTCCTCTGATCCAACCTCACAAAACTCGCTGATGGTATCACACTCAACCATAACACCATCAAAATCTTCTCCACCTGTCGCCACCTCCATGGGGGCTCCCATCAAACCCACACCGATCACTCGTGCCACGACGTCTCTAACGTCATCCTTCGCTTCACTTGAAGTAGTGTCAGGGGTCCCGTCAGCTCCCTCTCTTTCATCGGAGATGACAGCATTGCTGATGATAAGAGCTTCCGGCATTGCACAGTCTTGCCAGAACTCCGAGTCGGCCAATGTCGGTGTGGACTCTCTTCTCTCCACCAGAACAACATCCTCCTCATCGTCACCACACTGCGTGCCAAAGGTAGAGCTGCTGCTTGTTGTCGTCCCAACCTCCTGCTTAGTGTCGGTGCCAACAGACCAGACAGGAGAACTGGGAACGGCTATCGCGTTAGGATCATCAGCACCAAACGCTTCTGCCACTCTATCGACCCTGACAACGAGCAATACCCTACCATCATCAGCCCATACCGCGAGCTCGCACTTACCACTTGAACACACAGCAGGCTGCCTTGTCTGCGATTTGCAGGAACACAGTATCCAAAGCATCGCAGAGGTGGTCAAAAAGGTTGCTCCCAACAGACCCACAGGAGTCCCATGGCACGCGATAACGACCACCAGCGTATACCAGGAACGAATGCAGACCGTCGAAGAAGTCCTCAGGGCCTTCACATATCTACGAGAAACACAGCACAAGGTACAACCGACCCGACTAATAGCGCAAAAAGAATTCCTTACATCAATATCAATGCTGCGAATGCCAGTCTCGACCCACTGAGCGAAATGAGGATCAACCCGAGCTCGGCTGAGGTCACTCTTGTCTTGGACGGTCACTCGGAACGGGCCGCCTGCATACACCGTCCTCCGCTCCGCTTCAGAGTACCATCTTACTTAATGTAATCCTACAGTCGTCAACCACCAAGTGATGAGGCGTGGCCCAGTCGAACGATATCGACCCGACTGCGGTGCTCACCCTGTCGTCCCGAGTCTCTACTGTGACCTGAACCAACCCGATCAGGAGCCACGCCTGGAGAACCCACATCAGGTGGCTTACCACCGCAGTTTTGCATGAGCCCTGGCGCATTGGATGTGAGGCACTCGGCGAATCCACTGGCTTAGCCATCCTTACTGTGGTCATATAAAAACGGCGACCACTGAGACTATACTACACTGTAGCGGCAGACAGAACACAACACCCGACCGAGGAAACATGGATCACTCGAAACGAATACTCCCAACCATGACGTCACTCTTCATCATCTCTATCTATCCCCTTCTTCATCTCATTCACTGTCTGTGCTTCCAAATACGCGACCTTAGCAGCAGTCAAGAGGTCGAGCATTTTCGTGGTGAGGATATCAGCGCTGCCTAGAGTAACACATCTGAACTCATATAACTTCACAAAGCCTCGGCCTACCCTTCGCTTCCTCTTCCCTCTTCTGCTTCTCCTGCAGCATACCAATTTTATGCTCAATGATTTCGAGCTTCTCGTCACCAGTCAAGTTGCCGTAGTACAGATCCGCTCGCTGCTGGTTCGACAGGGCTCGCGTCAGACCAAGGGCGTCCGGCTGACGAACAGTCATCCTATAGAACGAGTTCTCGATCAACAACTCCCTACCTTATCAACCTCGTCGTCATCTCCACCATCAACATCTTCAAGATCGTCATCTTCGGGTAGAACATCATAAGACAGCTCCATAGCCTCCCGGAAGACATTGGAGGTCGGATGAATACGTCGGTTGCGATTCCTTGGAAACTCGGCGGCCCCACCAACTTGTCGCAGCAGCAGCTCAGTATTAACATCTCTGTTGAGCAGACTGACGGCATCTGGGTTATCCTTGATAGCCTTCGGATCACCACGAAGAGGCGCCGCCTACAGTAGGGACCAAACCATATGAGGCCTCTAGCCTACTCTGATGAAGTAACAGATCTCGAAGTTGCGGAAAGAATCATGAAACCATAAGATACCAAGGCCGTGCAAGACGAAACCGTAAGATACTCCCCACCTTTGCTTGAGGATCCGTGGGATCTGAGTCCGGCAGGCGAGCATCCAAGTTCTTGTCTGTGATATATTGTGCCCTGTCCTGCAGTTTCTGCAGGAAGAGCATTCGTTTCACTTTAAGCTTAGAGTGTCTCGTCATCTCAATCGCCTCGTTAACCCGAGCTTCTATACGCAGACGATCCTTCAACACCGCCCGTCGTTTCTGGTCCATGCCTGATGAACAATACGATTAAATCAGATTCGGACCACAACGGCTGAGGTCGCCTACTAATAGCCTGTATACGAGCCTGGCGCTTCTCCCATCGTTCTTGTTTCTCTGCCTTGTACAACGCTATCTCCCTCTGCTGCTCTTCTCTAGTCACCTCATCTAGCTTCTGTAAGTACCTACCAACAGTCCAAGAAATTCTCCGGTCGTCCTAGTCAACATCAAATAAAATGTAAGCCGGAAGAATACTTCCTCCGCGCAAAACGCCTACTGTGCTCGATAGATCTTCCGTAAATCCCTCATCTGCCTCTCCCAAGCCAACCGCTCCACAACATAGGGCGTATAGCCGATCCTACGGCAACACAGGAATCATCTACGACTATTGCTACACCCTAGGCTGACCTACCTCAGGGGCTCTGCGAGTTGCTGCTTAACAGCAGCCGCCGAGAGCAAGAAGTCTAGGCGTTTCTCGAGGGCAAGGGGCGAGACCTTCCACACATGCAGATGCCGAGATTCAACATCCCCAGCATACTTTCGGATTGATGATGCGATGAAACAAGAAAGAGCTTTCCAATGACCAGAGAGCTCTCTCGAGATGGTCCCCTGTGCTCACCTGCGGTACGCCTTCTACCTCCTTGAGCATCATCGGCCTGTATCGGGGAGCCTTCGCAAGAGGTATCCGTCTCGGAGGAGGCATCCTGGAGAACTCTCGAGCCTTCTCTCGCAGCCGCACAAAACGTCTCACAGGATTCTCGAACGGCCCTAACGGTCCCAGCTACCTCCATCACCATCCCACCGAACCCTCACCAGTATTCCGAGGCTTCCCCCGTTGTTTAAGACGCTTCATGAAGCCTGGAGGACTTAGAAACCGAGAAGCATATATAGCCCTCCGATCCGCCGATAGCATTGCCCGCGACACAACTACTCCCAAGCCATATAAGAGGTCCAATCCAACTCGCTTCATCGCAAAATTGAAACATTCTCACAAGATCTGTCTCCTGCCACTAGCCGTAGTGCTACACGATCCGCTCATAGATGCAGCCCGATTCCCTTATCTTCAGCGGCCAACTACATAAGAGGAAGCCGCTCAGTCTACACATAGGAATCTGTACAGGGTCTTACCGCGAGGAAGTGGCTGCGAGCAGCATTGATGTTGCAAGTGGTAGCAGCCGGATCTGAAATGTGGTGTCCGAGATGAAATGTGTGCCCGGCTTACGAATATTCGGATCAGAAGTGACCACCATGACGAACGTGTTGGGCGTAAAGCGATCAATATGGCCCGAAAGTTGGAGTTGGAGACGTCCAAAGAGTTGAAGGGCAGCGTGGTGCTTGCTGAGGTCAAGATACGTCCAGCGTGGGAACAACTCCAAGGCCGGCTCACTTGACACTCAGTTTGAACTGCTTCACAATATTTGATATCTTCTCGAACCGATGCGGGTCGGCCATCTGCTTCGTAGTGTGATTGGCAATGACCAGGAAGGTAGACTTCTCAAACAAGACCACCTGACACTCCCATAGGCTTCACCATCGCGTACTCTCCGCCGACCTCGTCAGCCTCCACAGCACTTGCGAAATTGGCCAGCTCTCTCTGCAGCTCGTCCATGTTGGGGATCAGCGAATGAGCGATCTCCGACCAAGCGCTGAGCAGCAGACAAATTATAATACTCCCTCCACCGCCACACTCACCGATAGAGTGTCTCGTCCCAGATGCTGGTCTGGAAGATCTGAGTGGTCATACCAGCGAAATACGGCGAGAGCAGCTCGGAGTAACTGATGGCAGCAAGACCCAAGTCGCGGTGGATCCTCATATTTGAACGACCACTACTATTTGAAGCGAGCCTCCCGCTCGTTCTCCGGCACGAGGTCGAACTTGTGGAGAAGGACGTAAACCTGGACCGTTGTGAATCGAGGATGACCTCACAGGAGCAGTACATGAGCACTCTTGGATAGGGACCGCAGAGACTCCATAGAGTTCTTGAAGTAGGTGATTTCCTTCTGCTGTTCGGCATCTCTTTGGTCGTTACCAGCGAGAGCAACAACATATATCATCACACGCACCTGCCCAGCAAGCTTCACCATTGGAGATTCACCTTAGTGATATGAAAAATACATTTCACGACTACTGCATAGCGCGAATATCGCATTTTTCACCGAGTATTACGCCACGTAAAACGGGTGAAACTCCATTATCACGCCCAAGTACAAGTGGCGACCGACGAGACCATCGGATAGATTGAAATTGAGAATTTCCCCATAGAGTCGCTACTACATTGCGGAAAATGTGGTCCTTCTGGCTCTCGAAGTAGTTCTCCATGAAGACGTCCTGTCCTCCGCAGTCCCACAAGGACAAGGTCATATTGCCGAGGAACCTCAGATGACTGTGCTCCACCTAAGACGAGGTCGACCTTAGAGAACAACGGAGAGAAGATACGCCTTATCACTTGGTTGGTCGGATGCAGCCTTGTGGTCTCCCGAGCTGAAAAGCACAGACATAATAAGGTGTCGCTAACCATCACGAGGAAGCGACAACGCTGGAGGCCCGGAAAGGGCTCCCCTAGTACCAAGGTAATTTGCGAAAATGATGGAGCGCATGCTGGTCTTTCCTGCTCCTGCTCTTCCCATCAACAAGACCTTCGCAGTCTCCTCCTTTCCACTCGAGCTTGCACTGAGATTGTTCATCAGAGAGACCAACTATCTGTTGAATCTTGGCAAATAATCGTGGGAGAAAGCGCGCGCCCAAAACTCTGAATCGCGAGGCGTGAGAATTTGGCGTCGACGATGTTGATCTATTCCAACCAAGGGTATTGAGATAACACAAGTATAGCCAAGATAGGGTAGGTGCAAGATCGGATAGGTCTCGTATCAAGTACACCGAAATAAGGAAATAACTTTGTGCCACAGCCAATGAACAAAATAGCTATTCTACTACTAAGAACAGCAAGACTTCAAGATCTCAAGAGATCAATAGGCACAGACAACACTCCGGGGCCACAGACTACACATCAATGCGCTTCAAATTGCCAATAAACTCAAAGAAAGGCTGAGAGCGTAAAGGATCACTGGAGATAGCAGCCACTTGACCACGAATCGAAATGACTTTATAGACAGTAGCATTCCAGTAGGGATCCAGCTTGTTACGGTTATAGTTATACCTTAACACAGAATCGCCAATCTTAAGAGTATCAAAATTGCTACGAAGCGCAGACTCATCAGCTAATACTTTTCTAGAACGGAGTGTAGCATCTAAGTTTTCAGCATCAACTGTAACCCACTGAGAGTCTTCAGTCAGCCTTCTGGAATATGTCATAACCATTTCTTCCAGCTCATCATTCGAAGGTAATTTGAGCGGAACATTTTTATCCAGAAAGGCAGAAGCAGACTGAGATAGAGAGCTTTGAGCATCATGCTAGGAGGTAATCCTCGACATGCACATAGTGCAAAGAACTTGGATAGAGAGTCGATGATAGGCTAGGACGAGTCACACTATTACAGAGAAAGATGA